CGACTGCAATCTTTAAATACTAGAATTTATTTTTTTTATCTGGTTTTATGAATTTTGTTTCTATTTTAATATGTTCTGCTATGGTATGGATACGAAATCATATTTAATATTCAAAATATCATGTTACACGTGAACAAATACAAAATATATAATACAGTGTAACAGACGATGAATATCCTTTTCACAATGTGCACAGTGCATAAAGCACATTATGATAATATCTATGACTATGAGTCTGCACCACACAAAACCTTATACACGAGTCAAGAAAAAGGTTATATCCCATAGAATTGTATGCGGATAGATAACATGAAAAAGCCGACTAACCGAGAGAAAACTGTGTAAGATCTTTGTGAATGCAGACAATCAAAAAGGCAATATTATTAATTACCTTGCTCACTATAGCTTTATTGTTTGGCCATTCTTTCCTTAAAAAATATATTATATTAATTATTTTTTATTAGTAAAATAATTTTTGGAAGAGGGCGCACGTGCCCCTGTCGCTACAACACTGATTAAAAATTCATTTTGTGGAATTTGTAATATTCGCAATAAAACAGACTTAACGCCTTGATGTTAAGGTAAAACGTACGTTGTATCTGGCCACAATGTATATGGGGTATTCAACGTCATACCCTACCCACCCCTTTTTACTTAAGTGCATCTCGGATTTCTCCAAGATCGTATTACGCTTAATACGTATCAACGAATTCTTTACCGATTTTTCCAGCTTTTCCCTGATACCGTTCACGAAATTGGCATTTTTAAAAATTTATTCCAAAGGCGTTTGATCAAAAAAAATTACTAGGTATATGTATGTAGAAATGTATATTCTTCAAAATGTTTGCAGGCAAGCAATTGACCATTTGACGCACGTTAAGTTACATTTATTTGAGTTTCAAAACTTATAAAATCTAAATAATAAGTGTATACACTTGTTAAAAAAAAAAAATAATAATAATAAAAAAAAATCTATGTACATACATTATTTTTTTAAAAAATAATTTTATCTTATAAGAAAAAAAAAACATACAAATTATGGGAAAAATAAACAAATTGTTTGCTCACCAGCAGATTATATTGCTCCGGTAGACGTAAGACTGTAAAAAATAAAAACATTCAAGTAATATCACAGATTATATGAAAACAGATTGTTCACTCTCGATGTAAACAAAAAATGAGCTGATAAGCACTCCGCCGAAACCAGTGTGACCATGTCAGCCGGAACGAAATTATCGAACTTGTATTTACCACAAATTATATGATTATTTCATATAATCTGTGTATTTACCATATTAAATGTTAAAAAAATAATAAATGTTATATCAGTAATAATATTGACCCCGTCGATAACACTCTATCATTATCTCAAAAACATTTCATTATTAAACACTGATATATATATATATATCAGTGTTGGAATAAATGCATTTATTGGATTGCATTCCTTTTTAAAGGAATGCAATCATGAATGCATTACATTTAGTTTTAAGGAATAAGGAATGGGAATTAATTAATTTTATGTCGGAATGTGAATGAGTTCTAAAAAAGAAACACTTCATGGCTAATTAGTAATTTTTAATTGACTGTAATTTACTAATTTATATTTAATTTATGATATATTTTATACATTTTTTCATAGCAAATGAACAGATTGATGAACAATAAATAATCAATTACTAACATTTTTTAAACAGTTTTAAAGGAATTAATTTTCTGAAAAAATGAATGTCTTACATCAGATGAATCACCTGTAGTTTATACAAGGTGATCTTTTGGTTGACATTAGTATTCTGACCAAAAAAAATTAAAATTATTAAAACATATTTTTATATTTAAATTTGTTTTCATTCATAATACTTCAAATAGCATCCAAGTCTTGTATACAGTTTGCATTTCAGAATAATGGAAATGGTTCTGGCAAAACATTTTTTTTAAACGACCAAAAATTGGACTGGTGTCGGATTTATATTATTTCCATTTCCCACCCCCCCTAGGATGGTTACAAGTATTTTTTAGTTTTTGAGCAAAAATTTTGGGACCTTTAAGTTGAAAATTTGTCAGTTGTTAGAACTCATATGTATCCGTAACATGTTAAACGGAAAAAAAATTCGGCACTTCAGCTTTTTATACTATTTTACTAACAATTATACTGTTTTATTTATGTGACCTTTGTGATTTATTAATTTTTACTAATTATTTCATGTTCGTTATTTTTTATTTATTTTAACCTATTAGCAGGCGCGTGTGTGCATTTTGTACGCCAATTATACTTTAAAAGACACGACTTTTATCTGAGTAGCCTATAGAATTAGAGTAAATAAAAAATTGGTTATATTAAAACATGTATAACTAAGTGTATAAATTTGCAATACTTTTAGTTGTTTAATACTTTTTTATAATAATTTGTATTATTTTATTTATAATTATTTTTGAATTGATATTATTTTTACAATAACAATGTAATTAAATACTACGTGTCAATACTATTCATAGTTGATTAATGCTCTGTCAGTTGCCATGCCATATGGTGGACAGCTTACTATTTATCTATGTTAGAAATAATTAAAATTGTATATTAATAAGTATGGATATGTTATGTTTATTGTTTATAATGCCTTATATTTTTACTTATTGGGAATTTTAAAATGTTTTATTATTAAATGTATTATTATGTATTAATTGTAATTTATTATTGAAATTAAAATTATTGCCCTTGGATACGTCATACTATATGTATAGTGCGTAAGATAATATAAAACAACTGTAAAAATTGTAAGAATAATATTATTAAATTATTATTATTATCATTATGGTTATAATATTTATAAAATGTTTGGTAAATACAACAGAAACATTCTGTTTAACTCAATTATTTAACAAATGCGAAAGCCCGCGAACACGTTTAAAAACAAATTCCCTTCAGACGGTCACACTGATTTTGGCGGGCCAATCATAGAGCCTTATTTGCAATCCTATTGTTAAAGGCCCGAGTGAACAATCTGTTTTCATATAATCTGTGGCTATATTTCAGTTACTTTAATTCTGATAGAATTGGCAGACTGATAGAATGTGATTTTATATTTTGGTGTTTCTGGGTTGGTCACGCTGATAAAATAAAAATTGTGTTATCTTTTGGAAAAACTCTTATCTCTTATCATTTTTTGGAAGAACTGCCCCAAACCAAGGTGGATTTATAAATCCACCTTGGCCCCAAACACTTATTTTGTATCTGTTTTTATTTGAAAAATTAAGGTAAACTAATTGATAACAACAAGTACCTATCTCAACAATTATATTGATTATTCTAACGAAAACAGTTCACTAAATTTAACATTTTAATCTAATTAATAATATAACAGTACAAAAACAAAAAAAAATGATAAATTCTAATATTATTTCAATAGCTGTGGGCGGAGTGATAAAATGTTGGAATTGTAGTAGTAATACTTAAATGACCAAACCTTTGATATTAAATATGTCAAATACACCATATATTAGAAAATCAATGATATTTGTTATAGAAAGTATTATAACATGACCAAAAAAATTATTGTTCAAAACCTAATAGATTCTATTAATTATTATAAATAGTTTCTCATATTTAGCTGGATAATGGAATGGAACTTGTTGTATTTAAAACTTGTGTTTTATAGTTCATTATTAGTTCAAATCATTTTGTTATTAAATTTCTCTTTTTAATTTCCTTGCCTCGCATGGCATCTCTAATCTTAACCCAGCTCTCATCCTTAATTCCCGCGTTGTTCCTGTAATTAATGCCACAACATCCTGAGTTCTGGTTGTACTATATAGTTTTTTTTTTAACTTAATTATACTTCTTGTATTTTCTATTACATTGTTTGTAATTTTCTATGTGTACATATTACCTATTGTAACGCTCTCCTATTTTTGGTTAAATAATAATTTGAAATTGTCGAGCCATCATATTTCCCAATAAAGGCTAATAAAAAAAAAATTTTGTTATTACATTACAGTAGGGTTTTCAATGCTGATGTCTACTAAAAAATTTACTTATAATGCTAAATAAGCATATATATGACTGGATAAGCATACAATTAACATACTCGTTAACACCGGGGGAGGGTTGAGGGGTTATCAAAACAGTGGTTCCCCGTACACCCTCTAGTTGTATTTAATTTATGAACAAGTAATCTTATTTTTCCCCCAATCCCCAAGCATAACTCATTTTGAATTTTCTGTACTTAACAAATGATTTCACAATGGTTTACGGTGGGGATATTGTTACGAGCCAAGGTGAAAGGATGCTGATAGGGTTGTCTTTTAAAAGAATGAACAATACCGGAGTGGGCAGTGGGCAGTGGCCAATGTTGCCAAAATGTTGTTATTATTGTACAAAAATAATTGACAAACCCTTTTTAAATTATTTTTCAGTCAGATTTTTACAAACTATAAGTTAAAGTTTTGAAACTGGCCGATGTGTAGGTGGATATCATATAAATTTTCATTATAAATAAATGCGATTGTTTTGTTAGTACAATTATTATTACTTATTATTGCAACTACACAAACACTTGATGTTGTACTGTTATGAAAACAGTGATACGGATACCAGGTACGTCAGTACGTGCGAACGCCACAATATCATCACGTACAGACTGTAAAAGAGTTCATCATTTTTAAATACGTGTAATATTATATTTGTCTAGTTGTAAAACGGGCTTAATATAATGCTTGGTTACACATGCTCTCCAGATGCGGATTGAAGAGGGCGGTAGGGGCAGCCGCACCCACTTTCCGCTGGCTATATCATGATAAATAAATAAATAAATATACATATATATATATATATATATATATATACACACACACACATGTATATTATATATAAATTATACATAATATATACATACACACATGTAAACATTAGTAAACCACCCCTCCCGTTTATGCACTGTGCCTGATGCACTCACTTTTCTATGCACTGATCGCTGTATATGCATTTTACGTTCAAACAATAAACGGCCACAGTTAGTGCCCGGGACCTCTTTACAGTCGTCAGTCGTCGGTTGTCTCCATTATACTAGATTTGTGGTGGCAAATTAACTTGCAGTTGTTGTTTTAAAGTTAACACCGACACGTTTAAATAGTGCGACAGTCAATTCGCCTGATATTAATATGACTCAAATACCGACATCGAAAATTCAAATGCAATGTAAGACTATTTACCTATATTTTAATAAAACTATTAAATTTGTGTTACCTATTTTCATTATTAATTTATTCGTCCAACCCATAAAATGGACTGAGTATGTATGTTGTCTGCTACTACTATAACAGACGTTTTTAAACATGTTAAATAAAAGTTTTTTTTAATAATTAATCGTTATAAATGCACTTCACCGGACACCCTTTTATTTGCTGCTGCACCATATATTTGTCGGTGACGCCAGGTTAGGTTAGGTTAGGTTCGGACACGTTGGGTCGCTCACGCTTCCAGAACGGTGGTGAGGTTAGTTTAGTCCTTTAGGCAAGCTATTTTTATCTCTGGGGGTTTTGGGGCGTGAGTCCCCATCCAACGAAGTGTCTCAAAGGGGCTCGTCGAGTCGGCTCCCAAACCGGCAGGCGTAGGGAGTTGTTTTTTATAGTTAAAGATTTACCAACTTAAAGCTTTAATACTTAAGAAAATTATATTGTTGTTCAATACAATATTGACAACAATATAATAATCAATAATAATAAAAACAAATAATTAACTAATAATATTGTAGCAGCGCTCATAGGTATCACCAACAAACGTAAATGGCGGCGACGCGCCTCCTGTTGTTATACACGCGGAGATATGCAAATTTTTAAGTAGCTATAACTTTGGAACTAGATAATTCCGCCGATTTTTTATTTTAGATTCGTAATCATCATAGACCTATAAGTCTATGGTAATCATCGTAAAAAATACTACAAATTGTCATGTTGCTAACGGGAATACCATATGAAATCGGTCGCCGTTTTTGTGTAGGTATAGCACTGTTTATCTCTACATTCTAAAATTAGTGCTGAAGATAAAAACATAAACACTGTGTAATGCTATTAAGTCAATTAACTTATCTATCATGGATTATTCTGATGATGAGTGTATCAGGTTAATCAATTTATATAAATCGTGACCTATTTTATGGGTTCCAGCTATAACGACAGTCGACATTATCTATATATATATATATAAATGAATGTTTGTTTGACCTTTATGCATTAATTAGTACACCATTTATCCGATCGCCATGAAACTTTGGAAAGTTTTTGAGTACACTACCGCGAAGGTATCTGGCATAGTACTTTTTGAAAATTCCACCCCTATGGATGGCCTCAAGCATGAATTTTGTACTTTCAAATATTTTTCGTTGCTAACCCAAAATAAACACTTGGTTTGTAACCATGGTAACCACGGTACTCGAGCGAATGGTAGGCGATGATTAAAGGGACAGACCGATTCTATGTACATACGTTATTAAACATTTTCACGGTTGGAACTGGGAACTTGAGTAAGAGGGAGACATAATCAATATAATGTAATGTACATATGTAGATCCAAAAAAAGCCGAGACGGGGTATGCTAAAGTTTTACAATATACAGCCTAGAGTACTGACTCTTATTTGTAATTATTTTACTCAACCCTGGCAAACTAAATCCCGAGCAAAGCCGGGCCGGGACAGCTTATTAACTATAATAATAAAAAAGATAAATATTTAAAACCAATTTACACCTACACAACTTATTCACTCAACAGTTAAATGAACACTGAATAAGTTTACCGGCGCCCTGAACGGTGAACCCGATCGAAGGTTGGCGAACGCCGGAGAATAAACTCGAAAGAGTTGTCTGCGCGGTGCGGCCGAAGTCTACTTAAACAAAATTAATAATAATAATTTGGACTTTTTAAGAGCGTGTTATTTATTTTATTAACCAAGAACACTAGTCTAGCGCAGTAACGAAAATTATGGTAAAGAAATAAATCGGATGCTTTCTTAAAAATATTACAGGAAGCTTCAAAATTAGATTACATCTTAACATTATAATGTTAAGGGTTTTATTAATTTTAAAATATAATTTATATTTATTAATAATAAAAAGTTTAAGGTACCATTTTCAACTGAATTCTTTGTATGTGCTATTGTTGTTTTTTTTTTGTACGGATACTCTATTTTCCATGTTATAGTTCATTTTTTGTTTACTCCTATTTTTTAAGGGCCTCAAACTGCGGCAACCAGTCTTCCGATGGGCCCATCAAGCACTCACACAACATGCACATCATGTGGTGAAGACATTTACACAAAAACTAGCAGAAAAGGTACTAGTGGGGCGTGGTGGAGTTGTTGCTTGTTATTTTTTTGCGGGTAAGTTAAAATTTCTAAACAATAGGTATTCTAAATTGAATACAAAATTATTAATCTTATTTTTTTAGATGTTTTTGTGGTTGCTGTTTAATTCCGTGTTGTATGGATTCATGTAATGTTGTAAATCACAAGTGTCCAAAATGCAAAACATTTTTAGGCCAGTACAGACCATAAATCATCAGCTAAGTGGATCTAAGAAATTAAACATAACAGCCAAACTCAAATCAAAAGATGATGTAAATGTTTCATAAATTGTCTATCAAACTGTTTGTAACCTTTTCTATATTTTTTTTTACAAATTGTTGTACATGATTTCAAAAGTATAATCTTTATACTTACCAATGATTATAGAAATAACCACTTTTAATTATTTTACAGTTAATTATTTTTGTTCAAATTTAAAGACAAAATAAGAGAACTCTTCATATTATATTACTTTATAGAAAACCAATTGATGATGGTATAAAAATACATATTTTTTAACAGTACATTTTTAATCTGCACTAAACTTAATAATAAAATATTCATCTATAATAATATAAGAGCATATATTTTTGGGGTAATTACTGAATGTAAGTAGTGTTTAACTTAGTTTTACTGAAATTATTTAAAATTATTGAATGCTTACAAATATGGGATTCATTAAAAATTGTTGATTATAACTTTTCTACATTTTAGGTAACCTTTTATTATAGAAAATATGTGTTATAATATAATATGCAAAATTCTATAATTAATGTATTATCAGAAAAAATTATATCAGATATGATATTTACAAAAAATAATGGTAAGTTTTTAGGTTTGATTGAAATGTTATCCAAATTTGATGCGGTTACAATAGAACATGTACGACGCATTAAAAATGAAGAGACACATACTCACTACTTAGGACACGATATTCAGGATGAGCTCATCAACTTGATGGCTAATGAGGTTAAAAAAAAATAAAAAATAAATTCAACAATGTAAATATTATTCTATAATAATGGACTGTACTCCAGATACTAGCCGCAAAGAGCAATTATCTATAATAATACGCGCAGTAAATATGAACGAAAATGATGATTTTAATGAACCTAAAATAAAAGAATATTTTTTAGATTTTATAATTGTTGAATCAACTACTGGGCTAAATCTTGCAAATGTTGTTTTGAACAAACTAAATGAATATGGTATACAAATATCGAACTGTAGGGGTCAAAGTTATGATAACGGGGCAAATATGACTGGTCAGTATCAAGGTGTTCAGTCTCGCATTCTCCAACAAAATTCTAGAGCTTTTTTTATGCCTTGTGCTTCACACAATTTGAACTTATTACTTCGCGATATCGCAAAAAGTTCAGTTAAAGCTATGACATTTTTTGGGACCATTGAAAGAGTATACACAATTTTTTCGGCATCTACTTCTAGATGGGCCATTTTAAATAAGCACTGTCAAATTATGACTATGTAGAAATGGTCTGAAACTCGTTGGGAGAGCCGCCTTGAAAGTGTTAAGGCGATTCGATATCAAATGCCAGAAATTTTAAATGCATTGGAAGAAGTATCAAATACATCATCAGACTCTTTATTAAGAAGTGAATGTAAATCCTTAGAAAATAAAATTAGTAGTTACGAATTTATTCTTAGCATAATTATTTGGTATGATATCCTAGTAGAAGTTAACACAATAAGCAAAAGTCTTCAGAGCACTAACATGGATTTAGATATTTCAGCTAGTATGTTAAATGGATTACTCTCATTTTTGAATGACTATAGGAATACTGGTTTTGAATCTGCAAAAACAACTGCTAAAGATTTAGCAGAAGCTATAGGTGTTTCTACAGTTTTTTAAAAAAACCGTATGCGAACCAAAAAAAAAATGTTTTCATATGAAACTCAAGATGAACCATCTAAAAATGAAGAAACTACTTTTTATCAAGATTATTTTTTAACTATTGTTGATCAAGCTATCGTTTCCATGAATATGAGATTTTCACAGCTTAAATCGTTTAATAATAACTTTGGTTTTTTGTATCGGATTAACAAAATAAAATTCATGGAAAAAGAGGAGTTAAGAAAATGTTGCCATGATCTCCAAAACGTTCTAACTGAAGGTGAATTAAAAGATATAAATGGTTATGAATTGTATGAAGAATTGCTTATTTTTTGTACTATGATAACTGAAGAAACGACAGCTTTTCAAGCTCTTTCAGTACTAAAAAAATGTTGCGGTTCTTATCCAAATATTTCAATTGCACTCAGAATAATTCTCTCAATTCCAGTAACATCTGCTGGTGCGGAAAGGAGTTTTTCCAAATTAAAAATAATAAAGAACTACTTAAGGAGTACTTTATCACAGTGTAAGCTTAAAAGCCTAGCTACTCTGTCAATTGAACAAGAAATTACTGACTTATTAGATTTTAATGAGCTGATTGACATTTTTGCTGCAACCAAGGCTAGAAAAAAACTATTTTGATGTTATAAAATTCATTTTTTTTTTAATTTTTCAACTTTTATTAAGTGTAAACATTTAATTTGTATATATTTTATTTTAATATGAAAATTTTATCCAAACAGAAATAAATAAATACATATTTAAAGAGTTTATGTTTAATACTTTGTTTCATTTTATGCCTAAGAAAAATGTTTTTATATAAGTTATGTGAAATAGAAAAAAATGTTTTATAAGTACTCGAGCGTCCCAAAACAATTTGTTTTGGCTTCTCAAAAAAAAATGTCTAGGGCCCCGTGAAATAATCTGCCCCGGGCCCCGCAAAACCTCCCGCCGGCGCTGCAGGGACAACCTATGGTAGACTGGCGCCTTGCCGATGCTGAATAAAATGTTTATATATTATTAAGCTGGCAGTAGTTTTTTGGGGTCTAAAATAACCGGTATGGTTCTTTTGGATCTAGATATGATACACTCATCAGACTAATCACTAATGTCCAGCTAATATATAAAATACATCACTCCAGTTTATGTGTAAACAAGGTCAGATACAAGGGGAAGGCTGGAGTTAATAGTTAATAGTTTATAATACAATCTATATTAAAATAAATATAAACCAAGTCAAACTATAACGAATTTATGAGTAGTAAATTCACATGACTTCTTAAAAACAATCCAAATTAACTCAGGTGCTATAATATAATATACATAATATTATCATTGATTATCATTAATCAAAGATATTATGTATAAATGCACAAACAACAAAAAAGTTCAAATATATTAAATTTATATTTATAAACACAGATTTCCTTATTTCACACTATTATAATATACAAGTTAAAAGTTAGCTATAACTTAAATTTAAGTGACATGTGTATTGGCGTTGTCGATTGCATTATCGAGATGTTTTTATACATGTGCATAGAGTACACAAGGGTTTCACAAAATGATTGATACTTAGTGTGTGATATTATAATTAACGTGAAGTGGGTCTCATACGGTTAAAAAGTTATTAACGAAACGTTAATATTACTAAGTTTATTATGATCAAGTTTATACAAACTAACGGTTGGTTACCAACTGCGGCCATCCATCACTGATGTTAAATAATTATGAGATTCGAGCTATCGAAAAAAAAATATAATGGTTCAACACGTTGGCGGTGGCCGGTACTTAACAAAAGACTGCAAGGAAATAGTTTTTACTAAAAAAATTGATGATTTTACTGTTTTATCTATTATTAATGTTATAATTATTAAAATTTATTTTATTATTGACCACGATTTAATAAAAAAAAAAATTGTTTGGCTTAAGTATTCTAACAGCCTTGACAAAAATGTATTTTCTAAAATGATTATGTACATGTTTATTTTTAAAAGTTATTATCAGCAGTAATAAACATATAATATTAATCATTTGTTGAATAAAAACTAATAGTGTACATATTATGAACACAACGGATTTCATACAAGTTATTTTAATATTAAAGTTAAAAACAGTTGTACATTATTAAAGAAAAATACTAAATTAATATAATCAAGTTTATAAAAAATGTTTACTAAATTATTTCCACTTGGCTTATAGTTTTTAAATTTTGAACATAGTTGGAAAAATAACAAAATATAGTTAGAACATTACAAATAATTATGGTATAAATCTACTTTACCGGGCACCCTTTTTTTTTCGATTATTTTTTTAAATCGACAGTACTTTTAATGTTGATTACGAATATGTAAAAAATTTGCGCCGCTCGCACTTAGTTTGGAAGTTACAGACTTTTAAAGTTCGCCGAAATCGACATACGTGCGCGCCCGGCACTGCACGTCTACCCGCGCCCGCTGGGTACTTCGTCCGTCGATCGCCGCTCAATTATCATCGGATTCCTCGTCTACCTGCCTCCCGCCCGTCGTGGTCCTTTTTTTTTTTGCATCATAATTTCATCACGCTAATATTTGACTTGTTTGGGATTTTGCTACAGCGAACAATGAACAATTTTTGGCTCGCCCGATGCACATTGTTGAGACTTGAGGATGACTTAGTAGTAAATATTAATGTTTTATCGCGCCCCGCTAATATTATAAAGTATTACGGGCTATTATAAAGCAATACATGTTAATCATTTTTTATAATTTGGTTATTCATTTATATTTTATGATTCTACATATATTAACACAAAATACATATATAATGCTGTTTTTCTACAAACTCTGATGAAAATTGTGAGGGACAAACACACATAGATTCATATTATAATATATATATATATATAATATATATATATATAGATAATAAAAATAGAAATAATTAATCAGATAAAAAAATCCAATTTATATAGATGGCCTATAGCATAAGCCAAATGGGTGGAAAATATACACATTTGCCAATTAGCTAAAAGTGTACTTTTTTTGGATTTTTATATCGGTATTTATCTAATTCTAACCCTCTGCTTCTGAGTTTTTAATAACTAGTTCTAAGTCAATAAAAAGTAAAAACCTTTATCAAATACTTTTTAGTTGTATATATAATATATACATGGATAGTTCATTCCGATACTCATGAAAATGCACACAAATTAAACAATGTTCAATAACTTCATTTGTTTTATATTTAAAATATATTTGTAATTTAATTGGAATACATAAAAGCAAGTTAAAATATTATTCAATTAATATCGTTGCAATATACATAATTTTTTTACCTATGTATTATATTAATAAATAAGTATCAATAATATAAAAATGTATAATTATTTATAATAATAGAGTAAAAGTATTTAGAAACAATAATTATTATTAATAGCATGAGTTAACAATAAATCCTGTTGAGTAAATTGAAATGTTTACAATGAACATAGTAACAATGTCTACAATACAATAGGGGTTTTAATAAAAATATAATATTTTCTACAAAGTTACTGTTTTTATTTTTATTGATATACAATTTGGAAATTACATTTTTTGCTATTACTCCGTTATAATATGTGGTGTCGGCCGCACAACATACACAAATAATAATCGTACATTTTACATAAATATTGTACAAGTTGGTATCTCTTCGGGTGGCTGTTTGTCGAGTGGCTCCGTGTCGTGCTCCCAATGAGTAACACTAACATCCAAATACAAATAACAACGCCATCTATAAACTAATAACCTGTAATAATTTTTATCACACTAGTCGGAAAATTATATCTCATTTAATAATAATTAAGTGTTTTAATATTAAAGTATGAAGTCTTAGTTGTTTTTTCATACTAAGTCTCTACTCTCCAATCTTCTATACAAAAGTAAGAAGACCTATTATATAGGCTATCGACCTATACTTGTGTAATTTGGACCACGGGTTGTTATTATAATTTTAAATTATTTTTGTGTAAAATTATCAAGTAGGAAAATCTAACGATTTTAAATTGTCTTAAAAGAATTACCGTTTCGCTGTAATAATTATCTACTACGTTTTCATATACTTAATTGTTACTTCTAGTTGTTCGAAATGACACGCCATGCAAGAAATTGTACAGCTGGAGCTGTTTATACTTATCATGAAAAACAAAAGGATGCAACTCAATCTGGATACGGTACACAAAACGAACGCGTAGGAAAAGATTCTATCAAAAGTTTTGATTGTTGTTCATTGACTTTACAGCCATGTCGAAACCCTATTGTATCGTGAGTGTAATTAGCTTTGAAAAAATGTATATAATTTATTAAAGTATGTAATTTATTTGAGTATTTGTTTTTTTTTTTAAATTAAGGCCAGAAGGTCATTTGTTTGATAAAGAAGCGTTGTTGCAATACATGATAACCAAAAAAAATGAAATTAGTCGTAAGCTCAAAGAATATGAAAAACAAAAGCACAAAGAAGAAGAAGAAATAGCTGAGTTAGGTAGAGCTGAACGCCAATCTAAAGTTAACGACTTTCTTAATACAGAAAGTATGGTGAAAAAACAAAATGATATTTTCAAAATGAAATCTGAAAAGAAACCAGAACAAACTGTTTCGTCAATCTCCAATATGGTCAATGGGCTTGACAAACAGTTACCTAGCTTTTGGGTTCCGTCTGAAACACCAGATGCAAAAAAAGCTCCAATGCACAAACCAGTAATATACACATATCGCCTCCCCGGTAGAATAATGACAACTGCAAAAATTAAAATTTCTTCAGGAGAACGAAAAAACCAAATTATTTTCACCAATGTGTTATGGGATGTATGTAATTTTAATGGAATGTGAATGCTTGGGAAATTATTACAACTACAGTTACATCGTTTTGCTACCTTATGCGTTTGATATATTTAAACACATTGAAGCATTTAGCCTATTTACCAAATTTTGCAGTTAGGTCATTGTTCTACCGGCTATATATAATAATATAAACATCATTATTATTACAATATTTTTCTATTTAAATTTGTTTACTTAGGATAAAACAGTATATTGCCCTATGAGTGGTAAACCGCTAAAATTAAAAAATTTTGTGAATGTTAAATGGACATTAGTCAACGACCCCAGCGACAAAAAATCATTAGTCATTCGTGAAAACCGTTATATGTGCGCTGTTACACATGATATACTAAGCAATGCCGTACCAGCAGCAGTTATTCGGACGACGTATGAATAAACACAGTTATATGACATATTAAAAACAAAAAGTGATTTGATGTACAAATTAAATTATGTACATTATCTTTTGCAGTGGCCATGTAGTTACAATGGAATGTGTTGAGAAATTAATAAAAAAAGATTGGTTGCATCCTTTAAACGGAGAAAAATTAACAGAAAAAGATATAATTCCTTTGCAAAGGGTATGTTATGGAAAGGGTAAATGTATTGTATTTATTAGTGATGGGCCACAATATCTATCTATATAATATATATCTTAGACATTGATATCATTTGTGTTTTTCCAATAACTTAAGGCGCTATTGTGAATAAAATATATCGATACAGTATCAGTATTTTATGCTAAAAAAGTGAATAAAAAAAATGTTGTTGAATGTTAGTTGAAAAATATAAGTTTTTAAATTAATATTATAATTTTAAAATTAAAATTTACTGTATAAACCAACAAGAGTCGATGACATACATGTATCCAGTTATTAACATTCCATTAAAATGTATAAACCAACAAGAGGCGATGACATACGTGTATCCAGTTATTTCTATTAGCCACCTCTAACAAAATCGCATCTCATAAGAAATTATTATTTATTTTATCAAATGCTGTGTAAAAATAAGGGAAAAAGAATGTAACAACTAACATCATTTGCCATCCACCCCTTCCAGTCCGTAAGGCCAATAACCCATAGTATAGAATAATAGATAATAAATTATATAATCATATATTATAATAATATTTAGTATTATATATTATCTCATCCTCTTGCAATATTGTTCAGTTTTTTTGGGTCCCAGGGCACTCTGGGATCATTGGTAATAAGACTGCCGATTCTCTAGCCACCTCTACTGCTTCTTTCATATTGCTTCAAGGCCTTACTACCCCTTTTTCCGACTTTCTACCGTGCTTTAATAAAACTATATTACAGGCTTGGCAGGACAAATGATAACTTTTCCCCTTAGCATTGTTCAATCTATCCTATCACCCATCGCAAGCCTTGTTTCATGGTCTCCATCTGTCGCATGTCGCGTAAGGAAATTTATTCTTTTTCCCGTTTAAGATTTGGACACAACCTTCATCCCGCTTTCTCTTTAAACTCCTCTCCACATTGCACCTTGCATGATCTTCATCATTTCATCTCCTTTTTTATTGTCCTCATTTATCCTTTGGGTATTAATGACCCTGACACCTTTAATATTATTTTTCATCTTTGAATGTGGTTTTTAATTTTTTTTTTTTTATTTGATAATTTGATATATTGGATACTACTTCAATACCAATATCAAAATTTTTTTCAAATTATCAGTATTATTGCCCATCACTAGTATTTATATTATTTATTAACTGAAATGTCATTATATTATGTGTATGTTATTATTTAATATATTTATTTTTAATTAGGGCGGCACAGGATATGCTACTACCAACGATAACTTGCAAGGCAAATACGCTAGACCTGTTTTACAAGCCTAAAAGATTAATAAGTTTAATACATAAGTATTTTATTTTTTTCTGTGTAATTTTTTAATTTTGACATCAAGATAAGATATTTTTTCTTAATTATTGTACAGTTCAGAAAATATTAAGTCAATCTCCGAGTATTAATTCAATATGACTATAGTTATTATTGTAAGATAACACTGTAAATAAAATAACATTTTTTAAGTGCCTGTAATGTATATTTTCATTTTTTTAAGCTCAAACTATACAATTAATTACATATTTTATTATTTTTTAATTATTCCATAACAATAAAAGTAAAACGACTCTAAAAAAATAAGTATACTCAAATGAAAATCTTTAAAGGTGGCTTTCTCATCAACAAAAAGGTAAACTTTTCTATTAATGAGGGAGAGTTCTTAAAATGTATTTAATAAATATAATTTATAATTAAACAGTTATCTAAACAATTTTTAGCAACTTTTGGTTATATATAAAAAATTAATATTTAAAACCCTTAGCCATCAAATAATATTAATTATATTAATTTTTACAAGTTTGTATTTATTGTATAAATTGTATGGGATTTAGTTTTTATATGGAGCTGAGAAAATATCGGTTTTACAATGATGGTTTTTCTTTATTGTTATTCTTTATTATTATTACAAATTTTTTTTTTTATGACGGAACTTACAATAACTTTTTACCCATTAGTCATTGAATGGGTTTATTCTAAATTATACAGTCTATTATATATTACGTAAAGAAAATGGCCTCTTGAAGTTAATAAAACTATAAAAGAGAATTGTAATGATGTCTACTGGTCAGCAGATTAGAAATAAAAAAAAATATTTGCCAGGAGCTTAGACTTGAGGAGGTTGGTTAGCTATCGACTATACAATTTATTCAAACCATTACTGTACAACAATAATTAACAATAAGTACTAGTAAAGCTCAAAGTTAAGTTTTTTTTTTGTAATTGTTAATCATGAAAATACAGTTTGAGAAACTTTAAATATGTATATATTATGTTAAGACAGGCTGTGGTTGTTTTTGTTTAGCTAATAGTATACATATTTTTTTCCATTTTATGTAAACGTATTAGATATAATATGAGACAGTTGTATTACTAAAAGGATATATAGTATGTATCTAGAACTATTGAGTGTTATCTATATTTAATACTATAGTACCGATAATTAAGGCGGATTAATCAATCCACATTGCCAACAATTTAATATTAATATGTACACGACCCACACGATTTTCGTTAACATATTATTGATCTGTACAGCTAAATATACCTACAATATTTTACATAATACACAACACTAGTTATTAGTTAATATAATAATTAAATAATTTTTACTGACAAACAAATAATATACAGTATACACCAACGAATTATAATTAGTTATTATGCATATAATGTTGGTCAGGATCCGCTAGAATTTGGTAGAAACGCCGAAAAGTGATTGAGATTTAATCTTATTTTGTATGAAGCAATGATCCTCTTAATGTAAATTTGTAGAGCATCTAACCATTAAGGCCATTTGTGTCGGGGGAAGTCAACAAAAAGCAAAAAATTGCAAAAGAAATTGTCTGGGCTACAATTAGCCAATCGCGCTGTATACCTGTATGTCTGTATACTGAACTTTACTCCTAATTCGTTTACCGTCAAACATACATAATGATAATTTAATGTTTTAAAGGCACCATAGTTGTTCTGGATCAAACTTAGTGCAAAATTTAACCGTCTTGTTTAATAACAATCACTACTACATGTTACTCTCCACGGTAGTGGTTTACCTACGTGGGTACTGGGCCCTAACGTGTAGGTACTTTTCTTAGTACATGGTATTGCATTGATGCTGTTTATAAAGCGAATTGAAATAAAAGAAAAGGCATACGAAGTGCTCGCTTTGCCGGGGCTATTTCCTCGTTATTTTTGTTTGTGGTTTACTTTACTTTGATTCCGTTTAACCCTTTCACTGCCCCTGACCCACAGCATCAAGACAACAATAGCATAGTATGGCGTTTGGTTTCGCAACGACCAATGTTCTTTTGACGAAGCCCACAACGTGCGTTATACAACACATTACACTATTGGCTGGCGATTTTAATGGATTCTCTATTATAATTAACCTAAAGTTCACCTCGCAGGCATGTAATTAATTTTCAGCGTATTCAATTATTATTGTCGTTAAGCACTTGTATACGTGTAAACTGTAATACACCGAATTCTGTTTATAATCGAGCCAAGTGTACGTGCTGGGTGTAAGTTGGTGTCATTTACGTAATTACTATTAAATAATTATTGTAATTTGTAGTAAAACAAAATTAGAAATAAAACATTTTAATGTTTGACAATTCTATTTTTTTTTTTAATATAAAAAACAAGCTTGCACAGTGCAAAGGCATGGAACATAATTGGCCAAAACAAATCTACGAATAACTAAATTGTGGTCTGTGTAATTTATAAGTATTTCATCTTTAACTTATAATGTATACATCAAATTCGTCGAAATAGCATAACTTCACTCAAGAAAAAAATTTGTTCTCGAACATTTTTAAATTTGTCATAAATTGTCTGAGCTAAATATAATTGCAACTTTTATAAACTTTATTCACGATTTTTTGTTAAGCTCACTGACTTCGAGTCGGGGGGGGGGGCTTACACATCATCTTTTTCTTCGTTGGTTTAGTAGCAACTTCCACTACTGTCACTTTACCCTATTAATTACTTTTTTCCTTTTTCTGTTTATTCCCAAAATGTTTAATTGCTTCGTTCCTTTTTCCCGTCGCCTCAGACATTCCGTGTAGCGCAATTCAACAAAAACAAAGGACTTTTACACGCGGCTGGAAAAACGATTTTTGTGGTGCAGTTCTACTAAAACGGATCAATTTTCGCGCATTTTATTTTTAAAATTTGTACCTCACGCATAATAAATAGGACCTGCATTAATGCATACAACCGCGCGTGCGCTGCCGAGTATAGGTATCATATTATTATAGTATTGAGTAATAAAATTGGGCTTGGCCATTTTGTTACAGTCGGTGTAGAAATAACAGCTAAATAAGGGACGACTGCATAGAATTGCAATATTATGGTATTTGTTTTGCTCGTTTTCTCTCGCGGACAGCGAAATAAATGACACATTTACCGTTCACAGTTCGCGGGAATTAGCCCCTCGTTATTTTTCCACCTGACGACGACCTTATTAGCGTGTCCGCGTGTGATTGCAGCTATGTATATATATATATAAACACAATTGCTGTGCCTGCCCAATGCATAACACTCCTGCCCTGTAGGTAATAATTATTTTGTCCGACAACAGAAATAACTACCCGCAACACGCCGGTGATTCGTCCAATTATTATTTGATTATTTTTTTCAACGTAACGAAAGATTTGCGATGTACCGTTCGAGCGAAATCTCGATAAAACATTAAAAAAACACTTTACAACGTCGCAATATACCACTTTTCAACATACCTTTGATTAACGTAAAAATGTTCATTTGAGTTATTAATAAAACTTTCCGTCCTTTTTAATTTTTACGCGGTACCGGTTTAGCATAACGAATGAGCGGGACAACCGATTGAAAATATAGGGGAGGAGGTCTGGTCCAATAATTAAATATTTATTACAAAGAAAAAAGTACCGCAATAACTTACAAATTATTTGTACAGTTGCAAAAGAATCTATTCATGCTTTTTAATTTTCAATATTGATAGTTTTATTGTATACATTTTTTACTTGTGACAAAAATCTATATTTCTAATGCTTGCATATTATGCTATTCCATACGATAGTAATAATAATTAAATATTTACTTAAGCTTCGACCAACCAAAAATAATAGTTCTTGCGAGCTTCGCATGTTATTTCATACACTGACTACCGAAAACCAATAACCAATAACAACATACTTTTACTTTTTTTATTTTAATAGTTCGGTTAGGTAATTTAGGATAAAACGTCCGCCTAAGTGGTCTCCACAACGATACAATGTTTTAGTAGGGGGGATAGGGTAGGTGACAACGAGTACAAATTAATGATTACTTATATCAACATAATAAATATATAATATTATTAATTAAATAGCTGTATATTTGGAACATGTAGTTTCGTATTGGATAGGTATTGGATACATATTATTATGTAATATATATTATAACCGTATTTATATTGTAGTTTGTGCCGGCGAGTTGTTCAAGACACGAATTATGTATTATTATTTATCATAACAAAAATATTTATTGTTATATAATTAAACATTTTGTTTCAGAAAAATCAAGAATTGTATAGACTATTGCGCAAATGTTTAAGTAGCGGCCGGCGCACAGCGGTCAGAGTCCTATAAACAGCAGCTGTTGCCGTCAATTGTTTTGTTGAACTAACATAATAACATGATATTATAATACGTGTTTATCGCGTGTATTACTTGTAATAATATATCTAAAACGAGATAGACTTTAAAGCACGTGACCCACGTTCTAGAAAAATAGAGAACCTACTTTTCGACTCCATCTCATAACCGCCTGTGTTGATGACCAACAGAATTGCAATGACAGAGAGATGGAGAGAGAACTAGAATCTCTATTATGTATAATAATTGTGCTATAAAAATAATGTTTCTGGTAGTAATTAATAGTACGTCTATATGATTAGATACCTCCTAATTACTGTAAAACATTATACTGTGTGTGTGTGTGTGTGTGTGCGTGTATGTATAATTATTACAACGATATATAAGTATATAACGAATATAGCTTGTTGTCTTATATATTATATTTGTGTTACTATTGCTACGCTTATGAATTAAAGAGAAGATAACGCTGCGATTGAGATAACACCGTGTTACTGAGGCGGTACAAACATTTGAGACTCCGATAAGTGCCAAGTGACTCCTTATAGAGGCGTTAACGTAATTGAGTACATCAGTCGATTTAAAATACCATGCCGACCAAAACGTGATATTATACACAAAAATAACTCACGTTGCTTGACACGTCGTTGATAACGGCCATCGTTTTGTGTTGGGTGAGTAGCTTTTATTATTTTTATTTTCATTTGTAACAGGCATACCTACGCGGTGCATTGTCAGTATGCATTTTAATAATAGTTTGGTCGGATTGCGTGCGTATTGGGACAACATCTGCACGTCTTTTCATCATTGTCAATCGTCATAAATTATTACACATTTACAATAATTATTTTTGAAATAATATTTTTTCATTAAATACATTTGGAATAACATTTTGAAATATAATTCCGCCCGGCTTTGAAATAACATTTTATGCATTTTCAACGAAACCGTGTCAGTGTTCTGCAGTAAAAAATTAATTTGAACAAAACTGATTATTTGTGCCGATTTCGTCTTATTGTTTTTATGCATCTATGTTGTTGCTTAAACACAGTTCTATGAATTTGCCCAGACCTCAAAATTGGATTAATTTTAAATAGTCCACAAAACGTGCGCAATAAAGTGTTAGTGATTATTTATTGTTCAAATGTCTAAACTCTACTACGGATGTGTTTTTTTTTTTGTTTAATTTTATCACGTTGCTTTTCCTAAATTATCAATTTGTATGGACAAAAATCTTCTAATAAAGTACTTAAAAATGGATACTGTCGGTTTTAATAATGTTTTGTTGAAACATTTGTTAAGATGTGTTTCGTTTACTAAACTAATTGAAAAGGTCAATTATACACGCAATGTGTACTATTTATGAACATAATTGTATTATGTTTCAAAGTTATGAACCTAAAATGCATACACTGAAAATAATGAATAGTACCTACTGATATCTAATCACAAACACGGAGAACAATAGGTAAAAGACAATGGACATCTAGAAATTATGATTATCGGTTTCGGATTTGAGTATAGGAAATAAAGTAATAATTTTGAAAAAAACTTTTAAATAAGATTGAAATTTAAATGATACCGTTTTGGCAGTAAAAAGATAATAAAAAATGTGATTTATATATATTATAACTAGTGTTTCATAGGTTTATATACAACGGTATGTAATATTTTGTAAAAAAGTGATTTTTCTAATGGTCTTAACAAATTTCACATCTCCAACTTATTTACCATTAAATATTATCTCGACCATAAACATTGAGGAGTGGGGATTCTTTAATTACCATTGCCAGGCAGACTCAGGTCCTTAGATATTAGTTATGGCATTTTTAAAAAATCTTATCAGTTGTCACTTTTACTTTAATTTTTAGTTATTACTATTGGATTTAAATGTTTTTAATATTTCACAATATGATTACATTAGTTGCTTTTCTAATTATAGAAAAGCAATTATTAATTAGGGCATTTTAATACTTAGATATTACTAAAGGTAAATATTCTCATTTATTGTGTTTGAATTTAAAATGTAATAATTACTAGGTATCGACCAATTAATAAATGTTTATTACCAGCAATAATGTTAATGATGTTTTTAAAAATAAAACGGATCAAGTAATTAGAAATCTGGAATACAGAAAACAACAATTATTGTAAACTAATATGTGTATATAATAATAAGGCCAACCCATTACAAACATCATAATCTTAACTCTCGTATTATAATATGATAGATTCTTTCATATACTATGAGGGCAAATCAAATAGATATTAACAATATAATTATCTATTTTTTTTTTTATAATACATATTGTTTATTGTAAAACTAACGTATAAAAGCAAGTTGATATGAAAATGATAGCAACAGTAATCTATTTCTATAATACATTTTTTTTTGTTGCAAAAACTGATATAAATATTTGCATTTGACAGGTTTACCTCCCGCGGTACAATCTTAATTATATTTGTTCGTTGTGCATGCGCATCAGTAAAGACGATACATTCAACGGTATTGTTTTCCCCCTCGTAGGAAACAGAAAATACACGTCCGACGCGAAAAGGGCGGAATTATTAATAATCCCCTTTAGGGTAGGTTAAAAACTGACATTTTATCAGAAACTCACGTAGTTTTTGTAATATTTTGTTTGTATCGTTTACACGAAAAATTAGTTACGATGGTAATTTTGTATCATGTTTCAGAAAAGGATCCGAAATGAAACCGAGAAAAAGGCAGTATTCACGGTACGACAACAATAAATTATTATTTAATATTAAAGTACAAAGTTATATATTTGCTATCCACCCTATAAGTATGAGAGTTCTGCATACAAAAAATAAAAAAAGTCGTTTTCGAGTACTTCGCTCTGTGTGTAGATTTGGTTGAGAGGTTCAACGCGACACGGGTCTGTAACATAATATAACGTTATGTGTAAAGCGCTCTGAAGATAAGAACAAAATTGTAGCTCATTTAAATTGTCCCGAAACATTGGGTTTTGCCGTCGGACTTAGACGTTTGGCGTGAACGGTAAATGTCATCAACGAACAATAACAACATTGTATGGTGTACGTAGATGTAGTGTTTAGTGTAATATTATACACATTTGTTTTGTAATTTGTTCGATTTGCACTGTCGGGGTAAAAATCAATAAAAAAATCTGTTCTTTGAAATGACATTTGTAACGAAATCAATCCGCATGTCAAACCTGCTCGCGGTGCACTCATAATATTCCATTATCACTATCATCGCGCGTCAGCCGTATATTTACATAGTAATATTATTATTATTATTATATCGTTGCGAGCGGTTTTCTAAATGCACCTTATTGAATACCGTCCACGGATATTATTCAAATGGTCCACTGTACCGTTTATAGCGTTCTTTACGGGTACCGGACACAAATCAAAATCGCACAAACAAGTGACGTACTCGGTTGTACTCGGCCAATGGTATTGCCGCGTTGACGTTACGCGAAACAACCCTCTCAGGGTCTCCGGTCCAAGACAGTTTCTCGGCCTATCGTGCTCGACGTTAACAAGTGTCAGTTGTGCTTGGCTCCGTTTACTATTTTGATCGTCGGGTTTGTCGTTGGCGGCGGTTAGGTTTTTTTTTTTCGCTGTATGGTCTTTCTTCTCGCGACGTTTACCGGCCTAACCGAACCACAAATGGCTAAAAATTCGGATTTCGAATCGTACCTGCTGAACGACACCAACGAACTAATGAATTTCGACAATTTAAGCCGCGATAGTCCCATGGAGCAGCTCGTGTATTACGACCTACAACCCGTGTCCGAACCCCTTAAGGAGTGAGTACTCGAACGGACACAATAATATAATTCATTTAAATACTAGGAACTCTTGCAGTTCGCAGTCCACGTGCAACGTGCCGAGCACCATACGGATAGCGACGGCCACGGAACAGACCATCGAAATGATTGGTGACGAACACTCGATCAACAAGAGGAAGGGATCGGCTCAGTAAGTTGAAAAGTGTCGAGTGTCCAATGTTTAAGCATAATATTTGAAGTACAATTTTCCGGGACGACTTAAATTTGTCATATGTACGGTTTAAATGAGTGCGTAATTTGCCGATATTGGTCGAAGAGAAAATAATGATATGTATACCATTAAATATTTATGGTTCGTTATAAAAAATTATGAGACACCTATTGTAGTTGAAAAAAAGATTTAAGCTACTATGGCAGGCTATTTTCAGACTTTAAATTTTAAAAACCTTAATTCTTAAATTTATATAATAATAATTTTAATTAAATGAATCTCAATTTGTTTTTTATTTTTATGCCTGGAACTATAATAATTTTGAAACTACTACCAATCAGTTCCAGACCAGATAAGGAAAAAATCCTTTATATTCAGTTTGTACAGATCAGGTATTGTTGACAACTGTACTCATTTTGTCCAAATTTGAAAAATGTCTCCCAATTCCCTCTGAATCCAGAATTATACCATTAGCATAATGATTTGTGTAATTGAAATTATAGCGTTATAAAAATAATAATAAAAATGTGTACTTTTCTTAAAAATTGTTTGAATTTCAAAATTAAATGATACAATTTGAATTACATTTTTATAACACACATTTATAACTAAAACATTAATGTATATGATTTGTAATTAAGTACAACTAAATCGAAAAATGAGGTTTCCAGTTTGAATAATATGTTCTTAATTTAATTTATTTCTTTATAGATTTTAAGTGTAAATTTATTTACATTTGTTTGAATAATATTGTAATTTTAACTGTAACAATTTATGTTTTATTGATTGAATTAGTGTCTGATGACGTAATTATTGCATATTTTATTGTTATGTATTATTATAATACAATTGATCGTTTCGTCTGCTACGTAAAATATAAAATATAAAATATTATGATTTTATAAAAGTATATTCGAATTTTATTTTACATTTATTAATTAGGTTAGCAAAAAAAAAAAAAAAAATTGATTAATAACTAATTCATAGTTACTAGATTAGTATACTTTCCGTCAGTATATAACCTATTTACTTTTATTCTAAGCGTACATATTTAGCATGTTAAGCAACAAAATGTTGTATTTTTAAAGATTTGGATATGTTTTTTTGTAAGTACTTAATCTTATACTTAATCAATCAAAATGCGATATTAGTGTCATAAAAACAAATTTATTGAGATTAAATGTTTAAATCTAAAAAGTAAAACATTATTTTGGTATGGTATAACCGTTAAGTATGTAATAATAAATAATTATTTAAAACTAAATTAATTAATTAGAATTTAAAAAATTAGAATACGATCAAGTTATTTAATTATATTGATTTGTAAAAATGTATTCTATCCAGAGATAGAGATACAAGATACATTTTTTATATAATACATTGGTACATTATTTTAATACTTCCACTTAATACTTTTATTATGTTTAATAATGTCCGTTATAATTATTCTGGCAAATATGTTATATTAGTTGTATGTAATGTTTGGATCATAGTCGTATTTAGGAGCTTAAGAATTTCTCGGCTATGACGTCGATACTGATTTGCCACCTTTGCATATATTGTTTTACCTTCTTTTCCTCAAAACCATATAAACATTATATAAATGTATTCGAATCAGTAAAATGTCGATGGCAATTAACCATCAAGATCAAGTGTATATTAAGAATTCAGAAAATATTACAACGCGAGAACTACCCTTAGTAGTTATTTGGATAGAATCTCACAAACATTTGGATCCAACCTTGAATCATCACTCAACCAAATCGTATTCACGGAGCATGCAGAACTCTCAAACAAATTTATTTTAAATAATAAAACATGCAAAAATAAAGTAACAATAATCTTATTAAATAATAGCAGCATTAAAATAAAACGCAAAATTTCAAAATTGAAATTAATTTGTACAAACCAATAAGTAATATTTGTAATTAATAGTAACAACATCGATTATTTGTACTATTATGTATTTTTTACGGTTCAATTTTGTTATAATTTTAATTTATATTATTATACTAGAGGAAGCGACTTTGAAGATGACAATAATGAAGATTCGAGGTCCTCGCGAATCGACGACAACAAAAAGTAAGATTTATTGGGAGTTTTAATTATTTACATTAAACATTTAGATAGTGATTATAATATTTATTTCACCTTAAAAGTATATAAGTCTGCATACTTATAGTAAAGTGTGATTTTTTGTTAACAAATATCTTTATTTATTTATTAGCTATTTCACATTGACATGTATTGGACCCAGCGAAAATATTATTTTGTAATTATTTAAATATATTTTATCTATTTATTCCAGACACAATCACAGCGAAATCGAAAAACGCAGAAGGGACAAAATGAACTTTTACATAACTGAGTTAGCTAGTATGATACCAATGTGCCATGCCATGTCACGGAAACTAGACAAGTTAACAGTGCTTAGAATGGCTGTGCAGCACATGAAAACTATCCGGGGCACTGTAAATTCGTACACGGAAGGACACTACAAGCCTCCATTTTTAACCGACCAAGACTTAAAGAATTTAATCACACAAGTCAGTAGGTTAAATGTTAATTCTACACGATCATTGTAACTAAAATGTAGAACAGTCTAAGAAGAAAAAACATTTTTTTAGGCAGCGGAAGGGTTTGTCTTTGCAGTTAGTTGCGATCACGGGAAAATTCTTTACATATCCAAATCAGTCACGCAAGTTCTAAATTATTCACCGGCAAGTATACACATTACACATCATAGACCACTATAACCATGGTCCAGACAAATTTTATAGAATTTAATGAAATTGTAACCGATTTATATATGTATTCTTATAGGAAGACTTAGTAGGAAATAATGTATTCGATTATATCCACCCGAAAGACGTGGCTAAAGTAAAAGAACAGCTGTCTTGTTCAGACTTTTGTCCGAGAGAACGATTCATAGACTCGAAAAGTAATTGCAACTACACATTATAAATAAAGTCATATGCGTTGTACTCGGGTATAATAATTATTGGGTATAATTGGTTTGCAGCAATGTTACCTGTTCGTGCGGAGATGATGAACACATTTTCAAAAATGTGTAGCGGTGCGAGGAGGTCTTTTTTTTGTCGGATGAAATACAAAGTATACAGCGTTAAAGAAGAAGCTGATACGACTACTGGATCTAAATATCCACAATCAGGTAATTTTTAATTTTCTAATTAAAACATATTGAACATTTAATTTCGCGATCCTTCCACCCCTCTCCGTTTCTCACCACCAGACGCAACCTACCTCTTTGCAAGCTTTTTGGAGACATCTTATGAATGTTTCTCCCATGTAAATCAACACAAATATGTAGGTATTTAAAATTCTTGGTAAGGTTAAGGTAAACTGGTAAGGTTTACAATTAGATTTAAAATTTTCATACTATACATTTTTGTTGTTAAAAAGTTTGAAAAGGCGATTAATTTTTCTTTCGGTAGATTCGTCGTCCGTGGAAAGTAAATCAAGTGTAAAAAGCGGAGACATGAAGGGGTCTTCGCCCAAATGCAGAGGTAAATAAAAGAAAAAGGTAACCGTTTATTTACACGAACGACATGTCCCACATATCGTTGAAACTTTTATAATATAACTTTTATGAAAAATATGCTTCTCTCAAACATGTGAGTTTTTTTTCAATAATATAATTCATGTCAAGTGCGCTTGCTTATAGCATACCAGCATATTATTAGTTTCATGGGAAGGTTTCATTGAAAAAAATGAATCCCTTGTGATGGGTCGTAGAGAAGAAAAAACCCCTAATTAGTATTAAAAATATCGAACGCAAAAGTGTAAACAATATTTTGAAAATATGTTTTCGTTTTGCTGCAAGTTTTTGCAAGACATTTTTATCATCAACTACATGGATTTTAACCCCAAATGTTTTACTTCCAGACAGGAGATACAGCGTTATACAGTGCACTGGTTATTTGAAACCTTGGACACAAATCAATGAGCGCGATGACATGTCGGGAAAAAGTATGGAACAAGGGGATGATACCGAAGGCAGCGGAGTAGGTGGTGATTCTGAATCGGGGAACAATATCTCGTGTTTAGTCGCCGTTGGCAGGATTATTAACAAATCAGTATCTACTTCACTTTTATCAGACATAGTCAGACCACCGTGCTTTACCTCTAAACATACGATTGATGGGAAATTCTTATCGGTCGATCAAAGGTTTGTATTGAATATTATAATACGGGTTGTTTGTAATATTGGTGTTTAATATCATTCGTGTTTTTTTTTACAGAGTAACATATATAGTCGGATTTTTACCTCAGGAGCTTTTGGGCACCAGCATGTACGAATATTTTCACCAAGACGATATTGCGCGTCTTGTAGACGTGCACAAAGCAACGCTACAAGAAGGCAAGCCAAAAGACACGGAGGTATGCATTTTTATAATCGTCTATTGTCTATTTTTTCCGTTACAATTTAATTGGTATTATATATTTTAGGTTTACAAATTCCGGGCTAAAGACAAGACTTACGTGCACTTGCGGAGCGAATGGAAGAGTTTTAGAAACCCGTGGACCAAAGACATTGAGTTTATTGTGGCAAAAAACATTTTAACGAGGTAATAATATTATAAAACAAAATAGTCAAACCAATAAGTTATTTTAATCGATTTATCTTAATAACTTACTTTTGTTTATCAGATTCTTATGTTGTATTTAACTGAGTTTTCTCCAATTATAAGGTCTCTTATTTTTTTCTATTAAGTCGATAATTCCCTCTATACTTTAATAATGACTGTTTAATTATTACCTCTTCAAAACCTCTTAAACAATACCACAGATATACAAAATAAACTAGATTTCTAACTAGTGCCACTAGTCTAGTGATAAGAATTGAAGTCGACGTCGGCAATTTTTGTGGGATTTATGTGTGTATAAAATAACATATATGTATAATACATATATAATATATATATATATATAAACAGTTAAAAGTTAAGTTAATAGCACAAAATCACATGTATATACATGTGATTTTGTGCTATTAACTTAACTTTTAATTGTTATAAATAGTGATAACAGTTATTAACATGTGATAAGGTTCTAATTCCCACAAAGTTGGCGGAAAATAGTAGTATCAATTATCTGTATTGGCGACATGTACACTTAGCAATCTAGTTTATTATTATTATATATATATATATACATATATCTGTGAATAATACTAAGAATTAAAAAGTGAATTAATATCGAAAATGATCAGCGGTTTTATAAATTGAAGGATTGTAGGTTAAAAACAGAATGTATTTTAAAAGGTTATTTTTGAAAATCACAGGTCGGACTCAAAACCGGACAGTAGCAACAAATTGGAGTGTTCGTCACAGGATCAACCGCAAAACAACTATGATACCTTTGTCGATCAACAGTCGTCCAAGATTCAACAATCGTTAGGCAACAGGGATATGCAAAATTTAATCACGTCTCACTTGGAAGCGAGCAAAATAGGCAGACACATAGCCGACACGGTTTTAGACGATAAAACGAAAATCGATAAAGTAGAAGAGCCTCCTTCGCACGCCCGTGGCAATTTCATAACAGAGGTATCTTGGAATCACAAATCCGTGGTTTATTTTTCGTTTCGCTTTGTTTTTTGTGTTTCAATAGATAAAAAAAAAAAAATATATGGCTTCAATGAGATTTGTTCTTACGTTTTGGTTTGAATATATTTATCTAATCAGGTAGCGCCCTTTGGCATTGACGTGTATAGTTTTAATTTTTTGTTTTATTCGTTTTCTAGGCATCGAACAACAACAACAACAACAGCAACAGTTTACCGTTCCTGAGATCGCCGTTGCCTCAAGTACTCAACGACCCGGGACCGTCAAGCAGCGGCTACAGCGGAATCAGAGACAACGTGAACCTTTCCACCAGCTCGTCCAGTGTCGCGGGTACCGATCTAAATGCATTTTCTCCTACGATGTATCCACAATCTGGATTTATGATTCCAGGTGACTCTGAAGACATGCTCGGAGACATAATGACACCGTCCCCGCAACAGTTGCCCAACACAGACACCAACGACGAGGCCGTCATGGCCGTTATCATGAGTCTTCTGGAAGCTGATGCCGGGCTCGGTGGGCCAGTAGACTTTTCCGGCTTACCGTGGCCTCTACCGTAACGCCATCCATACCTAGGCGTTAAGAGTTGTTTTTTATTTTTTTTAATATTGATTTTGTGTTTTGTATCTATTATTTAATTTACGATATTTTTAAGTTTTATCTGACTGCGTTATTACTTGTTGATGAGTTCAAAATAATATTATTATTTCGTCTCGACTATTATTTTGTTTGTAGAGCTTTATTATTAATATACATTAACTATTATTTTTTATGTTATATTAAATTTAGTCGTTTCATTGTAAATGTATTTTGTATATTTTAAATATAAAACGTGAACGTCTGGTAGATCAATTTTATCATTAAGGGAGGGGGCAGTGTATCGAATGTATATGATGGTATTAAATCCTGACAGACAAGCTCTTTGTGGTTAACATCTTGATGTATACACTACATGTGTGATACTTGTCTGTTCCAATGTGTTCATAACAGCTATGTTATTCCTGGAGCAAAAAATGTTTTTTTCCAAAGGTATCGTCGTGTTCTCCGTATTATATTTCTCAGGTAAATTTTGTTTTACAATTTTGTATTGGTTTTAAGCTTTAACTACATATATATTGCATAGAAACAAAATTCACGAGAAAGTATACTTAAAAGTTAAGCTATGGATCTTGAAATTTTAGGGATTTCTTATTTTAAGTAGGCTACTATTATAAATAATTTGTTTTGACACAGTCTATTATGTATTAGTAATAGTATTATTAACTTTTGATTTAGTAGTAGTTTGATTTGCTTGAAGAATGTGACAGTTATTTGAATATAGCAGTCGTTCTTTTATAGTAGTTGGTAACTTGTACTGTGTTCTTGCTTTAAATATCTAGAGCATTTGATTATGATGTTTTTCATGTTGATGTAATCGTCCAGCATTTTGCAGAAGAGACATGATCCCTAAATAAGGAATAGTTACCTACCTTAATTAGGAATAGTTGAGGAAGGCTAGAGTGGCTAATTCTTATTCCGGTCATGGTAAATAAGTTATGTCAATTGTTAAGGTCATGTTATTTTACTTTTAACTTATGCTTATGCTAATGATTCCTTGTTCAAATAAAAAAAAATTATATTTAGTAACAATAATTATTTAAAGTCGCTCTTACGAAACTAATTTTACTGATTAAAAAAAAGTATACATAAATTTAAAAAAAGACCAACTATAATGGCTCATACATAAATAAAAAACCCAGATTTAAACATTAAGTATACTTAAAAATAAGTCAAGTACTACTTATTTCGTTTAGAATTACAAGTATGAATGTGCGTTTTTTGTCATTGATTGGGTATATAAATACACAATAATATTGTAAGGTGCGCAATAGGTGTAGTGATTTTTAATGTCTTTACTAGGTCATTTTAATGGTCTAGAAATTAGATTTCTTAGTTTTAAACTCACATTTATTTAGACTTCATCGCCCATTTAAAATAACAATTTTTTTGGTATGTGTTTGGACTTAATTTTAGTCAATATTCCTTTGGTCGATTATTTTAAGTACCTACATCATTATCGATTAGAAATCGTTTCTATTCAGTAAAAACATTTGAAATTATTAATGAAAAAACTCATTTCCATTTGATGTGTAGGCATATTTTTTCTCTGACTTTGGTACGGATAAGCACTTTATGGATACATTTTAAATTAATAATAATAACGATTCAAGTGTTGTGGAACGCGCGCGTTTATGGGCTAATTAAAACTTAATTAATATTATGTGTGCTGCACTGTGTGTATTTATGTTGTGTTATTTATTTTCTGTTTAAAAACTTATGGCGGGTATAATGCAAAATTGAAAAATTACTACGTGATATTATGTGACGCCCCCGCAGACACCTACCTACACCTGCGATTAAAAAAAAATAATAATTTATACTTAAAACGGTACACTACTTACTATCGACGATGCATACAATACGTTCTTTACTTTCTGCCGTCGCTAAAATTCACGAGAATCCATATAAATGTATTCTATTGCATTACATTCGTCCACGCGGCTGTGAAATAGTCTGCGATCGGTTGTTCGAACCCGATACTCTTGTAAGCAACATATAATATATACATACAGGTGTGTTGTAAGCAATGTAATCGAGTAGAGTCACTTAGGCGGTCAGTGATTATATTTTCGAATTTCAATTTATAATCAGGTGACTAGTCCGGGATGTATTGATATTTCGATGAGCTACTGTACATTCATATTGTAGTGAACATTTAAAATGTTTCATAATTTACTAATTGTTATTACAGTGGCTTTTGACTTTTCGGAATGTTTGGAATGCGAACCTCGACCTCAACCGATCGACGGACAAGCTGTATTCACGACATCTAAAAGCTGGAAGAGAGCCGTTGAGGTGTATCAATGCGAAGTGGGGTACGTTCTAGACGGTCACACTAAGCATACGTGCACGGAAGGACAATGGTCGGGACAGGTACCACTGTGTGTTCGAAACAAAAACATTAGTAAGTGGATAAAACGAATCGATAAACGTTATATATTATTATTACAGATGAACGGATAAAGGACATAGCCGAACGCGACTACCTTTTATATTAACGCTGTAAATTCATAAATATATTTGAATGTTTATTAGGCAAATTACAATATTATCATACTCAAAACTGTATTTTTTTTTTTAACATACACATGTATTGTGTAGGTTTCGATAACAACATTGGTTTGTCGCAAGGCTGGTTTCCATTCAGGTAATAACACAAAATCGAGTTGAAATCCAGTTGCAATTCGTACGCGGCTGTTTGCTCAGACCAGCATAATTTTGAATTTCAACATCTTTTAGGCACTTACTGAAGTCGAACGCAGCCAAAGTAAAGTTGAACAACGGCAAGAAAACGAAAAAGAAATCAACCGATGACAAGACGTCGTCTCAAGCATCAGGTATTTTTGCAGTATCGTTTTACATTGTCTTACATCTACCTGATTAAAATATGTTGTACACGTCTTAGGCTATGAACTGCCAAAACAAATGATTAGAAACTCGATCAAGGAATATTCGGCAGGAGATTACGATTTAAGTTGTTTGTTCAGAAAACGTCACGGAAAAAAGTTTCTTAGGGCTCCGAAATTGATCAACGCTCACGTGAAGAAATATGCAATGTAAACCATCACCACTACAGAATAGTATAATATAAAATATAAACATGTACTGTTTAAATACAAAAAAGTATGTGAACACTTATAATACAGTCGGATGCCATACGAAAGCCTTTAACACTGGGGCAACGCGGGCCCAATTTTCATAACATTTTAAAAATAATAATTTCTGAACATTTTAGAGCTTTCAATACAAATAATTTCTATAGAAAAAAAAATGTGTACTGCTTCGGTCACAACGCATACAATACATAATATATGTGTTTCTATAAATGTATTTACGATTCCCAAAAATTCATTTTTACCTGAAAAATATGTAATTTTAGCAATTTGTTGTTCTGTATAATTTATTAGTTAAATGATTTCAAAAACTAGAATTTAAACGTTATTGGTCAGCTGTTCAAATATTTTATTATTTACAAAAAAACATTGCAAGCGTAATTTGTTGCACCTATTAGACTAGTTTTTCTTAACTGCGTGTGTTATGTACAGGAAAAAAAACGCCACACAACCCTACAACAAGTACTTGGAAGCAATATACGTTTGTGCCGATGGGTATGTTTTAAAAAACGACTCGGAAGATAAGCTTTTTTGCTCCAACAGACGATGGGTCGGCTTGAGACCCATATGCGAAGTTACAAGGCCTGACACTGTTAAAAAGCATCACATCGTGAACGTAAGTAGCTCTGTGTTTTGGCCGGTTTATTTTCATTGACACACGGAAAATATATATAGTTGGACCAACAAAAATAATGGTTAATAATAGTGACACAATAAATGCATAGTTGGAATAACTAAATAAATTTGTTTTTGTGTGTTTTTATTTTAACTATAAATTTAGTTGGTCCAACTATGTATTTTTTTCCGTGTAGAATCAGCAAGATGAGTGTTATATAAAGTGTCCTCCAGACAAGTCATTGAGTCTAGCCGAAGGAGCCCAGGCGGTCGATTTCAAAATAGATGCTCCTGAGACAAACTACGATTGGCAAAGGTTTTACTCAATTTATAACATAAATAATATTATTATATTGTGTTCGATTGGTGTTATAATAGTATATTAAAATCGTGCAGGCTGGGTTCGTTGAGTTCTGGCTGGAGCAAAAATTCTTCGAGATCCTTAGTTCCGGGGTTGTACGTTATTACATACACAATTCAAAACCAAGATAACTCCGACCGAGCGTCGTGTAGAACCACTATTCGAGTAACCGGTATGATACACTGACTTCAATCTTCATACAAGGAGAGTACTAGTATTGAAATAAAACATTAAAATTGTAGACGACGAGCCGCCAAAAGTTCGTGATTGTCCTTTGTACTTGGAACTGGCCGAGGACTTTGGAGAAAACGATGCCGTTCCTGTACGGTGGCCTGAACCTGTATTTGTCGATAACGTGTCTGTGACAAAAATAACCAAGACTATGGTACGGGTCACTGTGAATTATTTATATCTGTACCATGGGTACAGATATTAATTTTTGACAAAAATTCTTTGGAAACGTGTAAATGCAAACACCATTTATGTTTTGTGTTTTAAAAAAATAGTATTTTCACGACAACAATTAAGATAGTTGTTATAATTTTTTTTATATTAAGCGATAGCTTTATGGACGATAAAGACTTCAAAGTTTCTTTGTCAAAAGTTACAATATGTGTGCCTTTTTAGACCTATGGTATTATCAGGAAAAATATCCCCGGAATATTGATCATAGTGTATCACATATAGACTTCTAATTTTTTTATATTATAAATAATCAGAGATAGATTTTTAAAGGTAATACTTATTTTAAAACAATACAATACTTTATATTTTGACAGTTCACTTACAATACATTATTATATGTTTATAATATATATATATATTATATATTATATTGATCTTTTAAAAGTTTAAAATTGTATTAATAATAAACGACTAATGAAGAACATTAAGAATAAATAATAAATGTTAAAGAAATATACAAAACATTATACAGTTATAAATTCAAATTTTATTTGAGACAAATGTATTTTAGGGATCGTAGTTTATATTATTTTCTGAATAAATATATTTAAGTTTTTTTAATGTATTACATTCTACGAAGAGGTTATTATAACCATAACATGTGCGATGTTAGTTAATAATTAATTTTAAAAAATTATAATACTCGCTATTAAAGAAAAAATAATTTTTCCACTGTACTAGGAAGTTTATTTTTACGTATTTTGAGAATACACGTGACATTTGACAAAACTTTTAAAAGTTAAATAGTTTTTCCGAGGATATTGTTTCCGGGTATTATAATTCTGGTTGAAAGTTGGACTTTAATAATTATGTAACTTTAATAGGAGCCCGGTCAACTCCTAAGCCCTGCGCTGTATAATGTTTTTTATTCGGCATTTGATGGTTCTGGTAATGCTGCATCGTGTAATTTTACACTAGAAATAAAAGGTAAGAAAAGAGATAACTTTTTAGGCCAATGCGACTTTTCCGATGTCTCTTTGCCAAAATAATAAAACGTATTACCATCGAGTGTTACTGAAAATAAATACTGTTAAATACAATACAAAAATAGTGTTTAAATGTATATTAATTAAACGGATTTGTATTTTTTATGTTTAGATCGAACTGCTACTTTTAATACTGAGAAAACTACTGAAATTTCAAACGACGCCAATCATAAAGCTTAGAAATAATTTTGTTATAGAGATATTTTTTAAAGACATTTTTAATTTATGTTTTCACTCTAAAATTAATCGAAAATATTTTACACTAAACATATTTATTTGTTAGGGAATGGAATACATTTCCCCATTATTTTGGATTATTTGTTTGTTTTTAATTAAAGCGACAAGGTAATAATAACAATTTTAAATGTAAAATTTTTGAAGACTGTATTACATTATATATATATACATATGTATGTATATAAGTTTGAAAGGACTGGAATATTTGGTCCAAAAGACATGTTGTTTTCCAAATTACCAGTAAAATTAGACTAGGTAAGTAAGTCACAGAAAAAATCCATCTTACTTCGTTTCATCTCTCTCTAACGTCATTATCTTCACACGGGTAGAAGCTTAAAGTAGTAAAGATTACTAATAAATAATGATCATTTATACATCTTATATTATATTATATTATATTATTATATATTTATACAGCTTGCATGTAAGCGATTCAAATACTGCTAAACAATAACTCGTAAATATAGGCCGTTTCCGTATACCTAAATGTTGTCCAATTTGAGAAATTAAATGAATATGCGCTAGAATTATTTTTTTTAAATTGAACAAAAAATAATACTGACAATTTTGTTAGAGGTTAATTGCTCGAATAGAAATTGAAACAAAATAAACACACAAGTATATTATAAAAACAAAATTAACAAAATGGTTTATTTTAATTGTATCAAATATCGTATACCCATAACAAAAACCTGTAGTTTTTAGTTTTTATAAACAATTTTATGAACATTTTTAATATAATATGTATTAGTATTATTATTGTTGTTTTTCTGTTTGGAGTTATTACGAATAGTTGAATATGTGAGTAGGTCGTTTATTTGTTAAGTTAAAATACCGATCGAAAAACATGACTAGCGATTAATAGATAGGATAGTTAAAAAAAAAAAGTTGTTAAACAACATAATATAATGTTGATGGTGCTGTGTTTGACTTCAGGAGCACGTGTACGATCCGTAAGTGTTGATGCACGTACCGTTGCACTTGTTAAACTGCAGTTCCGGATCGGAACATTCGTCTAAGTCTTTGCAAGTCTTCCAATCGACGTCAAGCTGTAGACCCTCAGGACACACGCAAAATGCCGAGCCCACCGTGTTAATGCACTCGTGAGAGCAACCCGCGGTCCCTTCCCGGCACTCGTCCACGTCGTCGCAAGAATGTCTGTCTTCGGCCAACCGGGTACCCTGTTCACACGAGCACTTGTATCCTCCCCATGTGTTCGAACAAGTACCCTGGCATGGCCCGTGACCGTTGCGCAACAAACACTCGTCGACATCTACACAAAAATAAATTCATACGTCACTGGATGTATGCTGTGCGTCGACTTAGGAATCATTCTCGATTGACTTATAATGTTTAGAAAATATTTTTAAAAAAATCAACGAAAAATAAAGGTACAAAGTACAAACCTACAAAAATGTTGAAAACAAATTGTGTAAGTATCGTGTGTTGATTTTATTACATATGACTCTAAACAATTTTCTCATAATAATCATTTAAAATGCTTACCGATGCATTGTGTGTCGGCCACTATAAATCCTGACGGGCAGTGACAGCGGTATGATCCTGGAGTGTTGATACATAAACCTTCACAACCTCCGTTATTCGTCAAACATTCGTTAACATCTGTTTGTTTAAAAATTAACATTGATAATAAAAGCTCAGTATATATAACTAAAAAAATTAATTATTGATTAAATATTTATTTTTATTAGTCTAATTATAATTACTATTATTTAGACCATGTCATAATAATGTAGTTGAATAATGAATAAATACAAGCGATTAGTATATTATGTTGTACATTATAGTTCAAGTACTACATAAAATATGAAAAATAATATTAGCCAATAATCAATAATAGTGCTTTCGTCGATATGAATAAGGATAATAATTATTATTTATTGATTTTATCAGTTTTATTTTTAATAATTTATAAAAAAAACAGTTGTTTTAATCATTTGTTTTGGTCTTAAATCATAATACATTAAATTCATGATGATTTTAATAAAAAACGATTCATTATCAATTATAATCATCAATCAATTTAACGATTCTACTAAAAAATTGCATTTATTTATTCCTTAGCTTTTGACCTTACCATAAGTAAAATTCCTCGAGGAATATTTTACCAATGTTGGACTTAATGAACTGTTTTTTAATATTACATCGATAGCTGATGGTCTATCATGTATATCAGGAATAGATCCTTTTTTAATGATTTCATTTTCATCTCTGCTTGTTGGTATTATTAAACGAACTGGACCGTCGACTGAATTAGCATTCTCATTGGCGATCTTTGACTTTTTCCTTTTGTTTCCATTTTTTTTGTTCTTCTTCTTCTTTTTTCGGTCTTTTCTCCTTTTTTTCACCTCCCCCTTGGATTCCACTTTCAATCCTCTGCCGTTTAGCCAGTCATCGTAGTTTTTCCACGGCCACCACACGTTATTTTTCACTCGGTCTTCTTCGTTCAAACTAGAAACAGTCATTTGTACGTTTCCATTTTTTTGGTCTACGGTTTCCGTATTCGGACTGTTCCAACTGTGAAAATTAATTTAAAATCCGTCAAAATTATGCTTCATAATCGTTTAAGCAAACGCAGTGCATCAAATGTATGCATGCATGTATATTATATACATTAATTAATAAATAAAAAAATGATGTAGGTATTTTTTATGATGTTTTATGATCTTACTCGAATAGTATTCTCGATCTACTTGCAGCATGCCTTATGTGTGTATAATTTTGTAAGTTGTAATCGAGGCCATATTGTTCTCCGCTTAATTTTCTCGTCTGGTCGTATCTAGTAGTATCGTTGGTGGCGGACGAGGCTGAAACAAATTAATGTTAAACGGATGTCAAGTCCATTATATGGACATAGTGTTTTAAAACAAAATTAAATTATTATGCGATGCGTCGTTCCTTGCGAGCACAATACGGCGACTAATCACTTTAATAAGACAGCTATGATATGTTTATCGTATTCCGTTTGAAGAACGGCGCAAACATTAGTTTTCCACTAAAAAAATATACCAGCGCATTGTCAGATGTTAATGCTCATTTGTCATCGACGCTTTTGTCCAGTGGCACGTCTCGAGTAGTCTCAACGCCCATTCGATAAAATAACACCTGGCTGACGTCGTTAAACATGGACGAATCTCCGACATAAATAAATACACACACACACTCGGTTGAAACAATAGGAGAAATGCAAATCTTGCTTGGGAGTCATAATATTGACTAATAAAAATCTCGGAGCCAAGATACGCGCCGCAATCTTTGCGGGTTTGGTTTAAGAAAACAAATCAAATTCCATGAACCTACGCCGAGAGTATACGACGATCACGGATCGGACACGGAAATTGGAAATAAGGTAAAAACTTAAGGCACAACTGTCGGATTATGGTAATCGGTGTCGTCAATTTGTTCAGTTTTAGCGCCGGCACGGTCGTAAACTCATCGAGTTTATTAGCCAGTTTACGGTTTTTGGATGTCACATTTCGATAGACCCTACAGTAATGTATCGCTCTCTCTCTATTCTTAAGCTCACACCAACCACCATCCACTTTAAAGGAAATTATAGACATATATTATTTTTAACATGTAGGATTTCAATTACCATAAGTACAAATATCATATTTACATTCAGTGAGGTGGGCATTGATATTTTTACATGATACAATTACGTTAGGTAATCGATACACGTTTCAATATTAAAAAAAAAAAAAATCTTTGATACTTATCGATATAGATAATATAAAATATTGATACTTAATGCATTGTTGAAGAATTCACAATTACAAAATAATAGTTGTAAATTTATAACATTGTATACAACTATACAAGTGATGCAAAATTTGTTATTATGAATGCTATAATTTTTACTTATCTTTCCAGCGTATCTCAAGTTCTTAATACTTATTCTAAGTAAAAAGAAACACACCATAGGCGCAACTAGACCTACATTTTAGGGAGTGCTAAAATTATGTATAATAATTTTACTAAATACAACTCTTATTATAAGCTTAAAATAAAGAAATACGAATTAAGTATTGGACTGTAGTTAGTAAATCTTTCTTTGATGATCCTTCTTTTTAGTTTTTTATGTTTTTCGGAAAAGTTGGCATTATGTGACTTCTTTATCTGGTTTGGAGGTATAGATATACACATATTTACTATCTTTCATGTAATACAATTATTGTAAAATAACACATGTGTCTTGTTTGTTTACATCAAATAGCTAAAATCAATTAATTTTTTTATTTAATACTATTTAACGGGATATGTTGTTTTGTACCAAACTGATATTAACTTTTGGAAGTCGTGTGTCCAATACACGAAGTAGAAGAATTAGGCGCTTTGGAGAAGTGCATATGTTGTAAGAAAATTGCACCTTATTCTTAATTTTTTGAATGCGACTTGATATCTAATTGCTAATCTAATGCATTAAATTAATATTTTTACAATTTATTCACAATTTTCAATTCTTATATAGTTTTAACTTTTAACACTTTTAGAAAATAAATTAAAATATTGGAGCTAGTGTGGAGAAATTATTGAAAATTCAATTAGCACCGTGGAATAATCTGTTATTGTAAAAAAATTAGTTGAATGTGAAACTGAACATTTATTTTGAAAAGTAAATATATTTTGTTAGATCAAAACAAAAGCCTAATGCATTTTGTCATAAGCGGTTACGACGTTCAGAAAATGTATGTTATAAATATTAAATTGAATGTAACGAGAAGAGAGTGAAGTGAGAAATTAAATTAACTACAGCCAATATATTTTATAATTATAAATGGTTATATTTTCGATAGGTATAAAAAAAGCTTTAATACTCGTGGTGAATTTAATCAAGTGCCTACTTAAACGAAATAAATGTTTTACCCCACAAAAAAATGTTTTATATAAATTATCCATAAGGAATTGCGCGTTAATTATATTTCTAAGCGATTCCACTAGACATTAATACAAATTACATTGTTACAGCGCAGATTTTATATAATGGCATTGTAACATAGTTAATATAAAAAAAAACTAGTACCTACCTTTTTTCGTCATTACCAAATACACTTTATGGTCTTTAAATAGTAGTAAAATATTACTGTTAATAGGTCTACGAATAGAAATAACTCGAACAGGAAAATTAGCAGGTATTATTTTAAGCTATTAAACGCATATTTTATCCTCTGTAAAAGGAAAACAATTTCTTTTATATTGCGAATAAATAATTTGTCTTGGGTTAATTTTTGGATAAATTATATGAAACTGTGTTGTTATGAATTCGTATTGAACAAGCTACTTAAATACTCACACAATACTGACAAAGTCGATGATAAGATTAAACAAAATGTATATATTTTGACGTTGGGTTGCACCGAAATCATTGTGAAATAGAGGTATTGTTACTTGGTGATATTATAAGTTTTTATTTCTACAAGTACACGGGTAAATAGTCAAATGTCATAACAATAAAAAGAAACACATAGCACAATCAAGGGTGAAGATGTACTGAGCACACGATACCAACCGAGGAGCGCCATATGGATATACAACATATTGGTCCCCTCTAACGTGACCCTGGTCCTCTGCGTTTAGGTTTTATGACCAACACGGATTTACATTTTATTTGTTGGTTTTTTTTATCCATTGTTATCGTCTTGGATATGCCATTTGATTATTGTAGCGGAAACGAATAAAAAAGAGAAATTAACACGAATATAATTTTATTATTTTCGGCTATCGTCGACAATGACAATATTATGTCTCGAACGACCACTAAATTATTCACAAATCAACGTTACAATATATTTCTTCAGCTATAAATTTTTATTTTTTTTTAATTTTAACGGTAAAATATCGAAAAGAGTTTTTTTAATAGTAAGTGTATAGTAAAGAAAAGCCAGCAAAAAATAAACAAGAACAGTTGGGAAGTATTGGAGTCAAGCATAGTCACTAAAGCTGAAATAATAATGATGTTGTGAAGTTGGTTTTTAATCCAATTTTTTTATGTTGTCTCTGATTTTTTTTTTTGGGAAGTACTCTTACTTATGATTTATTAAATTTCCAAATCGCATGTAATATTGTGAACTATTGAGATTCTGGTCGAACAAATCGGTTCTGTAATCAGTCGTCTTGTATATACTGTCACAAAAATAGTACAGTTAGACCATTGTAATATATCTTTGCGGGTTCTTCGCATCGGAACTGAAATAAAAGGTAGTGATTATTGACAATAAGAATAATAATGCTTGTATAATATACATTCAACAGGACAATGTAATAACACCATCTAACAGTACCTATAATGACAACTGTAGAAATAATATGTAACGTATTTTGAAAACCGTAATTTTTAACTATGACGAGAAATTATTAACTTTGTTTGTTGATTTTGCATTACTTTCTTTTTCGTTTATTCTATGTAACACACGTTGGGTTTAGAATATGTCAACGCATTATATAAATGATTATTACGGCTGTATAATTCGATTTTCGATCGGTATAATATCAAAACATAACACTATTTTCATTTATATGCGCTTGTAACTTACAAAAATGACATAATATTATTTTATATTATTATAACATACTATTCGATCGTATATTATTATTATTACAGATACCGCACTCCGGTGATATATATGTACTATGAAAATTGGTGTGCGGTAATGATTGCAGCAGCCCTTTTTATTTATCATTATTATTATTTGTCATAAGAAGATTATATTTTTTTTGGTTTCATAAGAAAACGTGTCACAATAATAGGTTATTATAATATCATTAAATTTACAACGAAACGGTAGGAAAATAGTAAACAAATTTATTAATTTAATTTTGTTATGATTTTTTTAGAAAATCAAAATTATTTATTATTTTAAATAATAAGGAGTATACGAAGTATGATGTGTAATTGTTTTAAATATTTAGTTTTTTATAAATTATACAGAACAAATGAGGGGGAACTATTGATCACATGACTTCCCTTCATTAGCCGTCGTTTATTTACATAAATACTAATACAGTCTCATAGAAAATCCTCATCACTCCTGCAAGTAATTACAGTTATTAATTAAATATTTAAAAATATGCAATTTTATTTAAATTCAAATTACTCTGCTAAAGTTATTAAATTCATTGAGATTGGCCAGACCAAAAACAACTTGTACAGTAAGTATGTCAGTTGTTGACGTTGACATGTCTCGGGTAGTGATAATGATAACATAATAATATTTTATTTTATATTTTCTTGTTGAGTACCGGCTGTAAGTATATATTTTTGGAATTGCTTCCGACTGCATATCGATAAATAAATATGATAACATTATGTAAGCGTACACATATTGTAACGTATGACGGCCAATTACATATACAACTAACAGAATATTGAAATATTTACTGACTCCAACAGTGATATGATTTATATACCTACTCAACCTTTACAAATTACAATATTAGTCACTGTTAACCATTGAGGAATTCAATTATATTCTGTAAAATTAAATGTATACAAACCGCCTAAGTACTAATATACTGCGGTAGCTTGTTATTTAAAAAAAAACTGTTTGACTTTGGTTGATTACTATATTATTATTATTGGCATCGGCTCAAAGGTAATCATCCTGAAACTCTGGTTTTTTTATGATGCACGTCATAATTTTTTTTTACAGATCTCTTTAAGAATTGAATGTTCATTGAAAGAAAAAGAGTAGGGGTAATTATTTATCTCACGCAATATTTGTTGATATTACTGCAGCTGTATACAGTTAATATATAGTTTTGATATTTATGTATGAATTGTTATGTAATAACTGAAAAATATTTAAGTTTATTAATGCAATACATATTCATTTATTGGTCATGAATATATTGCACTATACGCGTATATAATTTATTATTCATATTTAAATTAAATGTTTATTATTCTAGAAATAGCTTTCGTAATGACGACAAAATAATATATTATCGATTCTAGCAAATAATATGTTAACTGAAAAATATCTAATTTGTTTTAGTATTTTTGAATAAATAGTTTTATATTATTGGTTTTGTTTAATAATTTTACACTGACTTATAAGGGTATTGCATCTAAATTATTAATTTTACATTGGTAATGTAACAATTATTTATTATTTATTATAATTAAAACATTTTTGTAGTTAAAACAAAATAATACTGCAACATTTTTATATACTGCGTAGTTAGATATTTTTTTATAGTTATGCATAAGAAATCAATACTGTCTCATTTCGATTTGAGGCGTTTTAACGAAATACATTAGATTTAACCGGAAGATACCCGTAAAAAAAGAATAAACTGCCACATTTGGTGTTGTGGTATTAAATTAATTTAACAAGTAAAACAAAACTTCTACATTATATCGAATAACATATTTGGTTTGAAATGATAAACTGCCAAAATACCAAATGTGGCTGTTAACTTTTTTTAAAAAACATTTTGCTAAATCGCCATAACCTCAATATTTGGTGTCCGATTTAGATTTAACTAAGTAGCTTAAAATTAAAATAACAAGCATCGGGTAACAAGAATAATTGCAAAGTATTAAAATTAAAGCTTTAAAACCTTAGGCATTTGGGAGCAGTTTTAATTTAATTTTCTCAAAACTATGTTTTTTAAGTTGTGGTTATCTTAATATAGTTTAATATTATAATAGTTTAATTTTTAAGGACTATTTGTTGTTTTTTTAAATTTTAATTGAAATCGCTAAATTTTGTATGCATACCGCTGCTACTAATGTTGTAGCATAATACCTAATTATCATTAGTGGACCTATGTAGAATTTATTGTGAAAGTGTCTTAAATGTTATCTTGAAACATACTTTCAAATTTTTTTATATGGTTTGGTTCTTACATGTGTAGATAAGAAATTAAAAATGTACATGTTTTTTTTCTTTTGAAAACGAATAGCTTAAACGAGTTTTGCTATTTAAGTTCTAGACATAAATTTATGTTTTAATTATTACAAAAAAAAATGTTTTATTTTAAACAATTGTGTAATATTATGTACAATATGATTTAAACTAATGTGAATACATCAAATAACTATAATTGTTATACTGTTATATATTATAAATGTATATATGTTATATATCATATGAATACTATTTGGTAAAATTCTCGATTAGAAATTGATTTTAAACTTACAGAATCCAACCAGGTTTTCGTTATGTTGTCAGTATTTTATTTTTAAAAAAATCCAAATAAATAATTTATATACATTTTTGTAATAAACGGCTTTGGATTGTATTGGTATATTATAATATGTTTAGTGGTATGGACGTAAGCCAATGGGAATTGCGTCACTGTATTTCTAAAGTGGGGCTTGAAGTGATGCGTTAGAAAACAGGTTTGACACTGTAACTTTAATATTGTTTCGTTTTACCGTTTTACTCTTTAGTCTGTATTACACGGTCTACTCTCAAGCCAAAATGAACGGAAATAACATTTATATTGAAGACGACGGGGTAAGTCTATAAATTAATGTATTAATATAATCTTATTAGAAACATCTCAACATCGTTGCTTAATACATTATTGGTTGAACTGTAAAAAAATTAATTGTTTTGGGACCCAAATAGTTTTGTATAGAATCGATATGCAACGTGTCGGTTATTTGGGAGAATTTTTTTTTTTCAATAACATAATATACTCTTAGTCGAATATCGAAACCAGATTGATGAAATCAATAATCATAAGTTTTAAATTTATTAGATTTTCATCAATTTACAAGTTATGTTATTTTGGAGCTTAGAGATAACCATTTATCCTTTGGTATTTTACTTGGACTTAAGTAAGTTACATAATAGCATACTCGACATATACCACACATATTGTATCGATGGATATTTGCCAAACTCTTCTTCATAAAGTACTGTAAAATAAATAATGTTATTGGGTTTTGAAGTTATATAAAAAAAAAAAAATTGTAAGACATTTTTAACCTAACCGTGTTAATGTGATATGTGGAGTTCGTCAACTACTTTCCCTGCGTTGCGTTGGTCCCATACCGGCTTGCCACTGTGTTTTGAAAGCAGGTATGTGGCATTTGCTTATTATTATAATTACCATGTAAATTGATTTAATCTATTATCTACCGTGATAAAAAACACACACGCACAAAGATATACCGCAATGATTTATAATAGTTGTGATTTCATTGTAGTTTCAACACATAGTAAATATTACCTAGTGTGTGCACCGCGTGTTTAAACTGGAGAAAATGTCAGCATTAGTTCTTATGGTAATTGGTAAGTACATAGGTCATATTGTAAACTGACAGAAATCGTAGTTACAACCGAAATTTATTTATTTAATTATATGAATTTAACGGGTTTGACAACCCAATTACATGTGTAATATTAGATTTACAGTGTTGAGCAGTTCAGAGTAATTATTAAAAAAAAAAAAAACAATAAATATAAATAATAAGAGGCCTTTTTTTAAACAAAGCGTTCAAGCCAATCGAAATCTTACATAATATGTCTAATAAATAACATAGACTATAAATGGGAGCCTTGACCGTACCTACATATTCTTAGAAAAATAATTCCAAAACAAATAATTAATTTAATGATGATTTTAAATACGATGGATTAAAATATCATTTAAGTGATGTTTTTAAATGTTTTAACTGTTAACTTCATAAATATACTCAGTTGTCAATCTTCTATCAATGGTTAATGATGATGTTTCAGAAACCTATGCTTCACAGCGGGTCATTCCCAGAGAAAAATGCGGAGAATAAATCAATCACGCTGATATTTTCACCTCAGATCGAAGGTGTCGGGACATTAGCAGAAGCCTTGAAGCTATTCAAGGTAAACCAGTTTATTCTATATTATTGCCAATTAAGACGCATTCATTTTATAACGTTTAACATATAAATACCTAAAGGGATAACACTATAAATGTTACTAAACGACTAACATTTTTTTCATAATTTTAATATTGGAGCAAAATCATTCATCCAGTGCCCATTCAATATTTTGACACAATGTTTGTACCTAATTATTAAATTATTGTAAAAATACTAACGCCAAAGCCGAGTCGCATAAATCAAAGAGCGGCAAAGTCTAATTATTAAACATCAACTTACTACTCCAAAACTGGTTTCTAATACTTTATAGCATTGACCTCCTACCCTTATTTGTGTATTAATTAGTGATCGTTTCAGTTCGTGTATAGGTTATAGGCCCATAAGTATTCATTTCCTCTCATGTTTTTCCAGCCCTAACCGCTCCCAAATATTGGTAACCCTGTAATAATAAATATTTTTTCCCCCGGGCTTCCCAAAAAAACTTTCTGGCTCTAATTCTACCGTGTTTGTCAACTTTCTCTTATATTTCTGCGTGCGATGATAATGGCCACGTCTCACGTACATATTACATTTATCGTTCTAGGAGTTCAATGTGAACTTGTTACACATCGAGTCCCGGTCGTCGGTCAGGATTCCGAATCATTATGAATTCTACGTGGAATGTGCGTCAGGAGGTGATATCAACGGGGCAGTTGAGGTGCTGAAGAAGACCATGGCCTATGTCTCGGTGGTGTCCACTGAAGCCGATGGCGGGAAATCTGACCGTAAAGCACATTTTAGCTGCTTTTGTTAGTTATAATGTTGTGTTGTATTTAATTCGTCCGATAATATTGCAGTAGAATACATCCCGTGGTTTCCGCAAAGGATCAGGGACCTGGACAAGTACGCCAATAAGATCCTGTCGTACGGCTCAGAGTTGAAGTCCGACCACCCCGGGTTCACCGATGAGGTGTACAGGACTAGGAGGAAGTATTTTGCTGACATAGCGTTCCATTACAGGCAGTAAGTCGTTTCCGTCTAGTCATTGCGATTGGACATGCAGCGATATCGTTGAAAATTAGCCGATCGGTTGACATTTCTAAACCGATAAGTGTTATAATAATATGTATACGCGCCCAAGTTGGTCTGTTCTGTTTCTCGAGCTAATTACAAGAGATAACAACAATTGACGACAGCCGTTGCTGTATACGATTTCAAGCGATTTAAATATCGTTTTGTGAGTTTCTGTGTTTTTTTGTTGAAACTACAATGGGTTAATTGTATTATGATAGAATACCGTAGTTGTAACAGAGTCTAGAGGAAAAAGGGGCTCAACTAGTAGAAAAGTTAAAAAAAGTCACACTTCTGGTCATGGTAGTGATAACCGATTAACTAATTTTATGATATATTAATATACAAATAGGTATCAATAGTTAAATGAAATTCAAGGGTGACTATAATATTATAATTTAAGTATAGAACACTGATGGAAAACCATGCAAAATCTATTTCCATCATCCGAGAGCCGCTATTTTCTTTCCAAGGGTTTTAAATATTTTTTTGTTATTTTTTTAGCGACGACCCTCTGCCCCGCATTGAGTACACACCAGCAGAAATAAAGACGTGGGGAACCGTATTTAAAGAACTTGTCAAGTTATATCCAACGCACGCGTGCAAGGAATACAACCACGTGTTCCCATTACTAATCGAGAACTGCGGTTTTAGAGAAGATAATATACCTCAGCTTCAAGATATTTCTAACTTTTTAAAAGGTAAAACGTCTAAAAGTGTTTTAGAGGGAAATTCACAATTATATGTGGGTTTATATATTGGGTTTAAAAGGCACCAAAATATGGAGTCAAATCTCACAGTTTGTGAATTTGGCAAATATAGGTTTAAAGTTTTTTTTTTCTAAAAAAGTGATAACATTTTTCAAATTCCATCATGATCTTAGAATTTCACTTTAAAATAAAATGATTTAATTATAATATAATGTTTTTGTTAAGTGATTGAATATTTTAAAATTATACTTACAGTACTTAAAAATATGATGGAAACATTTTTCGAATTAAATTTTATCAAATAAAATGTTATAAAATGGTTTTACAAAAAGTTATTGCTCAAATACCTTCTCTAAATAAACTAAAATCATTCAAATTATTTTTAACTTTAGTAGTTTATCTAAAGACGGGTTTTTGTTTTTATTGTACAAATTATATAACTCTTTTAAACTATATCGATAAAACATAATTCTTGTACGTTATTTAAATTTCAAACACATGTTAGTGTACTATATAAACAATTGTAATAAATATATTTCAATCAACGTTTCTATTGCTGTAAGGATAAAATTTAATTCGGTATAATATCATAAAAATAGCTTAACAGTGTTTTTTTCAATTCTATAATAGTATATCGCAGATATCAACTCTTTTTAATCTCTTTTTTTTCTGTTCGAGTAATAATAGTAACACTATTTTTTCAACAGACAGTACGGGTTTTACTCTGAGGCCTGTGGCGGGTTTGCTTTCGTCTAGGGACTTTTTGGCCGGGTTGGCTTTCAGGGTGTTTCATTCCACACAGTACATAAGACATCACAGCCGACCCCTGTACACTCCCGAACCGGATGTGTGTCACGAACTTTTGGGTCACGTGCCGTTATTTGCTGATCCAGAGTTTGCGCAGTTTTCTCAAGAAATTGGATTGGCATCGCTTGGCGCACCCGACGACTACGTAAAAAAATTAGCCACGGTAAATATGCGCAACACCGTCGCGTCAACACAATTTGGCTGGTTGCACAGGTTTATATAAATTTGTTTTCAATCAGTTGTTATGTTAGGGGGGCCTCATCTGTATAACGTTGAAATTAGCGTGCAAATTGTATTATTTTTTTTTTTTCTAACTCTTAATAAGAACATGAAATTATAATAGAAAGGGTTATCTGTGCACCGGTCGATCTGTTACACATATAATATCATCTGAAAACAATACAAGATTTGTTTGTTTCACATTGTTGCAATTTATTTTCAAATGCACGGTTTTTCGCGATTAGAGTTTAGTTTTACAACACAATAAATGTTGGTACGACCCGAAAATATATATCAATTTAAAATCATTATAGTTGTCGCTATATTTATTTGTCTAGAGTTGGCGAGTAGATGGATGTACTTAAATGTCGTTTCGATTTTCATCAAACAATTTCCTCGGACTTGCTATAATTTTTAGAACTGTATGTTTTTAACGATAAAAACATAGGTATATAGTTGAAAGCTTTTGAGTGTATTTGTATTACACAGTAAGAATATGAGGTGTGTGTTTTCATATTTGTGTAAGCAAAACTATATTTCTTACACGAATGAAGTGATTAACACAAAACCAATCGCTAATCAATTAAATTTTAATGTTAATTAATCGTTGTACAACTATTTAGTTAAATATTACTTTTTGGTTTTTATTAAAAAATATATTAACCAATTACTAAACTCCATTTTGACAGATGACTAGATGACTGTGTATAGATCTATATTTTTGTACATAGTTTAGCCGATGTTCGCAAATTGCCATTTTTTTTATATATTCGTTGTTTTTTTTATATTAGTGTTATTGGTTCACCGTCGAATTCGGTTTGTGCCGTCAAAACGGTAATATTAAAGCTTATGGGGCCGGACTGCTATCGTCGTTCGGTGAACTCGAGTACTGTCTGTCGGAAAAGCCACAGCTGAAACCCTTCGACCCCGAGGTGACCGGCAACCAAGAGTATCCGATTACCCAGTACCAGCCTTTGTATTTCGTGGCCGAGAGTTTCGAGGACGTCAAGTACAAGATGATGTAAGCGCCAACAGACTCGCATAACATGTATCTCACACAGCAATATAATTATTTTAAGAAAACATTTCAATTATGCATGGACATTTTTTTTTTAAATGGAAACACAAAAAACTGTAAGCTTGCAGCTTGGAACAACTAAACTAAATAACTAGTTAAATCAACTAAATAAATGTATAGTTGTATAGATAAATGTATATATAGTATTTAATTAAAAATTTAGTTGGTCCTATTTTTCAGTAATTATTTTCAAAAATTTGATTTATTTATCGTTTTTTTTTCTGACAAAATATTATCACCATAAACGTTAAATTAATAATTAAATACCTATTATACGTATAATAATATATTTTTTAATTGCTGCGTGGGTAGTGTGAGTACAAATATTATTAGTCCAGATATCTATTGACTTATTGTCGTTTTTTTTTTTGGCCACCAGACAATTTTCCAAGACGATACCCAGAAAATTCGGAGTCCGTTACGATCCATACACGCAAAGTGTACAGATTTTGGATTCAAAACTGCAAATCCAAGATCTGGTGAAAAACATCAACAGCGAACTTCAGATACTGTGTTTCACGCTGAGCAAAATTATTTAAACTGCCATTATTTTATTATATAAATATTTATATCATATCAGTATAATGATTCAGGTTATTACTATTATTATATTATATTATTTTCTTTAGTAATTCAACGGAAAAGACACATTTTCACAGCAATGACAGTGTGTTGCACAACCGGCCCACGCATTGTAATACAGTTAATTGGCTCCAATTTCCACCTGTTATAATATTGCACAACTCAAAACCACCCTTGACTAATTTTGTTTAATGAAACCGAACGAGGGCAACGCGCAATGTTTTCTTGATAAAAAAAAAATAGAATTCTTTCACGCTACAAATACCTAGTTTATTGTACCTATATATACATATTCAATATATATATATATATATTTATTACACCTAATAGATAGTATTTTTGTATATAATATACTAGGTATTTAAATAAAAATGGGTTGATTTATTGCCATACTGGTATTTCGAGGACAAGCGAGTTTAAAAGCTGACCTAGTATATTAATCGCAGGATTGTTACTGACAATTATTATATTTAAAAAAAAAACACTATTGAGTTTATTCTATAACATTATATTCTATTGGTAACAAAATAAATTTATATTATATTTTATATAACTAGTAAAATAGATACATAAATATTTATGCATACGCAAAACAAAATATAATAATAACACAAACTATAATAACAATAACAATACTATTATTAAAATGTAACATAACATTATAGTTGTTCCTAATTATTAAAATAAGATATTATAAAATGTGGATATTGTGGCAAACGCAGACAGGTACATGTTCGAAGTGGTTTATCGCTCCAACTCCACTACACCGGTACTAGTACTACCGTAGTCTGCAATTTCGACTTTGCTAAACATCTCTTCCAATGGTACACCCTCGACCTTAATGGGTTCTGCGGCATTCTTGTAGAACTTGCTCAGCCCCTCAGTCTGTAGATTGGCCAGCTGTTCGGCGTCGTTTCTCTTCACCAAGTAACCGCCGTGACCGTGTCCGCCGCCACCGCCGCCGCCGCCGCCATGGCCGTCCACGCCGTGGTGATGATTATGCGCGTGGTGTCCCGAGTGTTTATGACCGTGAGAAGCTTGAGCTTGATGAGAGTGATGATGCTGCGATTTGCCGTGGTGTTCATGGCCGTGGCCAAAGTTGCCGTGATGACCGTGCGAGTGTTCCGCGCCTCCGTGATGTTTGTGGTTGTGGTCGGCGTGGCCGCCGTGCGCGTGAGCGTGTTTGGCGTGAGCGAGATGCTTGTGAGTGTGGCCGGCTGAGCCATGGTGCTTGTGTGCGTGTTGAGCGTGGCCAGTGTGCTTGTGACCGTGTTCCGCGTGTCCCACATGGTTGTGGGCGTGCTCGGCTTGACCGTGATGGTTGTGAGAGTGCTCCGCCTTTCCGTGGTGATTGTGCGAATGTTCAGCAGCGCCGATGTGCTTGTGCGAATGCGCCCCGGATCCCACGTGCTTGTGGCCGTGCTCGGCTTTACCGTAGTGCGAGTGCTTGTGTTCGGCAGCGCCGTGGTGCTTATGGTCGTGGCCGGCGTGACCGGTGTGCTTATGGTCGTGGTGCGCATGCCCGGCGTGCTTATGGTCGTGTTCTGCATGACCCACGTGCTTGTGGATGTGTTCGACTTTTCCCTCGTGCACGTGCCGATGGATCACTTCTCCTTTGTGGATGTGTTCGCCGCCGCCGTGGCCGCCGCCACCGCCGCCACCGCCTCCGCCTCCGTGGTGTCCGTGCCCACCGTAGCCGCTGTGGGTGTTGTGACCTCCTGCATGGTGATAAGATGCCAAATCACCACTTGGGTTTGTTGGGAAGTCTCCATAGCTGTTTAAATATAATGCTTACAATATTATACAATAATAATATTATTACAATATTAATAGGTACACTACCATAAAAATAATGTACCGCAATTTCTAAAAGACAATGAGAAACTAATTGTATACGAATGATTATAATAAGTAATAACGGAATGTGGCTAAGGTAATTTAATAATTTATTTAATTTAAATGAAGAATCATTATTAAGTTTACCAAAAAAAAAAATGTGGACTTTTGTTTATTTTGAATTTAATAATTAAAATTAAATTTTTAAAATTTGTCTACTTCTATGGATGTAGATAGAAACCAATTACTTTGAAATAAAATAATTATTATATTATAAAAAACTAAATAGAACCTATTATGAGACTTCAGATAATTAACTGTTAATATAATTATCATTAATTCGAATAAAGGTAATATTTATTCCAAACAATTTCATGTAAACTTAAATGACAAAGTGTAACACTTAAATATAATCACTCGCATACTAGTAGTATACTGTACAGTAGTCAGTACTATACAGTATACTGTTTAAAATTGTTTTAAATGTATTCCTTATCGCTTTAATTCAATAATCGATTCACCTTTCTTCACCGAAAGACTTGCTGAAACACAGAAGAGCTAAAAGTGCAAACGTATACGCCCCGACAAGCTGAAACACAATTTATTGTAAACACATTTTAATTAACGTATAATGAATAGGTACAAATACAAAAAAAACAATTTAAATAAATTGGAATAACACTTAATAATGAATAATAAATATTAACGAATCATATTGGAACAAGTATCATGAATGAAGGAGCTGGCAATTTTATAAAAAAAAACAATATAATAATAATATAAATTCCCATACGGTTTTTGATGACTCCAACTAATAGCATACAACTTTACTGTTGAGACAGTTTTGATACAATTAAAAATTGTTTGGGTAAATGTATTAAAAATGTAAATCTTTTTAAATAATATCATTATTTACCAAGTAAAATAATTTTGTTTTTAGATATTATTTCGTGGATTCCAAGGATTAACAATTCCTGAGCAATTAAATTAGTTACCTAGTTTTGATATTGACTTATATTTAACGATTTTTTTTTATAATGGTTTCTAATTGTATACGAATCAAGAAAATGTAATCCACGTGGAATTAGAGTTAGAACTGTTATAATAGGTATATTGAATTTATGTAATAAATAGTAAAATAAAGTAGTATTTTATTTTATTTACGTAAAGTATAGAAAAAATGTTAGCAATACTATTAAAGTATAGTACCTAATAAGTACTACTCGTTGTTAAGAGTTAGTTAGATTGCAAATACATAGCTGCCAACTTTTGAACTTATACATATAATTCTACTGTGTAGACGGAATAGACGTATATTGAAATGAAAAAAAAAATGTACAATAAAATAGTAAACAACCCGAAACGTATCCAACAAAAAAGACTTTAACGCTGGCAAGTATTTTGAAAACGCATTACAAATAATAACTGTAGATATTTTCAAGAATCAAAATTTATATTAAAATAGTTTTGTGTTTATGGTTGTATTGCTGAATGGACAATATTATTATGTTGTTTTAACTGAGAGTGTAATAAATGATCATTATTCAGCTTAACACGTCTAACTGTTGTGGTTTTTCTATTTGGAAATGTTTAAGATGTTATTGTTGGCGAGTGATATTTAATTATTTAGCTTTATTCATATTGTTGTTAGTTTCTTAACTCTACTTTTAAATTGATTAAACAAATCTAATCAGAATCTACCGAAAACGTTGACCGATCGATAAGTAATATGGTCACTAGTGTCTTATTACTTATTGAGTATTGAGCGTTTACACGCGTTGACTTAGTTATTTTAATTTGTATATTAAGCTGCACTCCACTCAGCACGTACATCGCTTACCACCAAATGTAATTTATTTTAGCAGATCACTATTTTTGATGCGGTGGATGACGCATGATAATACGAAAAAGTATAAATAGAACGAATAAATTAATAACAGCACAATAAAAGTGATGTGTAAACGAAAATTCGATAGATTAAACGGCCAGACTCGGTAGGCCTTTGTATAATGGCGGGTATGGGAAAACGGTGTTAACGGACTTACCATCTCCTATGCGGCTGCACGACACTCTTGTAGCGGTTAGAGAAGTACCATTAACGAACTTGGAACGAATAAAAAAAAATATCACCGCGCGGTTCGTTAGCCGAGTGAATGTGTATCGAGTATTAATTTTTTTACAACAGTAGTATAAAAAAACTGACGTTGAATTCGGTTTCGGAAACGGCGAGAGGGCGCAAAAAGACCAACGACTTGGCGCGGCGAACGGTAAAACACCACGTGTAGCAATGGACACGGTTTACGGTAGCGCGTGCCGTTTTATGTGGACAGTTGTGTTCCGGTTCGTTTAAAGGTCTAGGGGGGATGATATGGAAGCGTACGCTTACGTCACAGGCGCAGCAGGTAGGTGGTACACGGCGGTGGCTGGCGGCGGTAACGCCGTACAGATTTAGACACATTCTTTTATCGTGTCGAGTGTTGTCTTGTTGAAGATTTTTCAGAGGCGGTGCGGTGATTTTTTTTTATTGGTTTTTGCGTTTGCAGACGAGAAATTGTGCAATTTACGGCCGACAATAATAATAATAATAATAATACGTACCTACAGGAATTATTATTATTATTATTATTTCCGAACCGATTGATAACGTGTTGTTTTCAAACTAGGTGTATACTGAATTTTTCTTTATTGCCACTACTCGCAGCTCGTACGTTATCTAATATGTATATGTTTACAATATATTATTATATCTTACCGCGCATGTACAGTGCAAACCGTTATAATTACACATGGGTACAACAAAAATAATTGTTCTTCATCATTAACATGTGTTCCGGTATCCCGGAACAGATATTAACTCGTCCTGACAAACAAATTTTTTTTGAGATCTCTGTACTTGATTATACTTGCGTGGCCCAACTAAAATTCCCTAACAAAATAAAAAAACCTTGTATTACATTCAAACTTGGCGTTTGGCATTGTACAGGTATATACTTCAGAAATAATTTATAACATCCAGTTAGTTATGTTTAAGGAAATACATATATTATGTTATCTTAGTCTATGAACATAGCTTAGGTTTTAATAAAATGCATATATACCCATTGTTTTTTTATTTATAATTATTTAAAATAACTTAACAGTAAATTTTTCAAAAGTAATAATTATTAATTATATTTATAGCGTGTATAAGAATATGAGACACAATGAATTTTATCTGCATCAACCTAAAGCCTGAATAAAAGGTGAAACCAAAACAGTTTTAAATTGTCTTAAACGGTTCGTGACCATAAATTAAGAAAAAAACAGGATAATTTGTAGTAATTTGTTCACACTCTTCCCCTCAACACCTAAGTCTTCAAAACAAGAATCATAATATATTTGATTGGTTTTATATTTATTTGGTAATCAATTAGGCCCATCTGAAAGTACTCAATCCCGGCTCTGCGTAGTGCGTATAATAACTGATTAATTCACTTGTAATTTCACAATTCGTTAGGTATGGATTATTTTTTTAAATTATAATAGGTAATCGCATTATCCTGGCTATTTATTGCGTTTATCTGCAACTATAAACAAAAACGCCAACTTGTATCACACTATGTTACGTTAAATAGTAAATATCGTTTAATTGTCTAAGAAGGGGAAATGGATGTTCTACAGATCTGATAAAAAGTAGACATACTGATTTTTACAGTCACAGCATGTTGTTGTTGGGTAAACGGCATTTAACAAAATTCAATAAAACAGAGCCCTTGTGTTTTACGCTCTTGATTTTTATATTTTATTACATAGTCTTTCTAAAATATATGTTACACCTAATTGATTTCAAAAGCTGTTTCTTCCATTCATGATATTGGCAACTGTACAGCCATCAGACAACCAGACGTCCACCCTCATTAGACCTTTTTAATTTTTTCTCTGTAGCTTTATTATGTAAAATGTATTCGTTAGAACGGTGTATTGTTGACTATTTTTCTTGTTTATTATTCGTTTTAGATGCGACTTAACTATGTTGTACAAAAACGAGAAAAAAAACAGAGTACATCACTGTGAGTGTTTTTTTTTTTTTTGGTTTCAAAAAACCTTAAACATAGAAGATTAGCTATAAAACGAAAGGGAGAGTTGCGAAAATGATCCACCGGTTCCCGTATTGATTATGACGGTTTTCTTAACACTATAATTTATCTTTTCTTCGAACGTCGTACTTACATACTTAATTATTTTCTTCTTAATAAATCAATACTTAAACAATTACACCACACCGGCATTTCCTCGTACCCACATGGAACGGACAAAACTCTTACTCGTGACCTCGCGTACATTTTTGCTTTTTTATTTTCATTATATTACAAAATAGTGTTAATATAATTATGTTTGGTCTATGAATTGCTAGCATGTAAAATAGAAACACACGCCGCGCACACATAGTTATAATTCAAAGTATACACACTATTCTTTTACCGCGACGAATTTCTGGTTTTTTTTTTTCCGTAACACCTACAATGAATGCCCCACAGTGGAAGTGTTTGTGCAGTTTTTTACCGTTTTTCTGTCGGCGGTGCATCGTCCACATTACAGCTGAGTAAAAATAAAAATAAAATAATAACAATAATAATATGTATTTTATTATATAACGTTGAATTAGCAAAAGAAAGTTATGCCAATAACAATAATATTAATCAAAATGTGCGTTACTTGTACTAGTATGAAACTAGATGCATTGTCCAGCTAGTGTAGGGCCTAATTATTACGAAATCCGACCTCCGGAGCCTTAACATTTTTCTGGAATTCAGAAAAACAATACGTTTAATCAAAGCGCAAATATTGCCCAGTCGTGTTTCGTCACGCCATTAATAAGTGTGCGTATAAATATTATCAATTTCATGCTAGATCGGTGGTGGTGTGTACGCGTACCTACTTGTCAAGGCTACATCATTATTATTATTTTTCTAATAATTATTACTGTTTCTTACATTATAATACACACTGTCATGCAGCCGATATACACCGTCTTGTACACCTATACAACGGTTTAACGCCAAGCAAATTTTAAATAGCCCTACTAACCCGATTAATATCCAGAACAACGACACGACTTAAATTTTATTTTGTTTTACTTAAAAACGAAAAACCTTCCAACGGTGACGTTAATTGCATTAGATAATAATATAACACCTATTGATTATTATTATAATCAATTTCGGAATCGCTGCAGGTAATAATAATAATTTTTTTTCAAATAGTTGTACACTTATAATATGCAAAAAAATCAAACTGTAATTTTCGTATATTAGCTTTTAAACCAAATTTGTTTTGTCCACGCGTTAAAATAATCGGGGAGAGCTTTTTGTTCGTTATTTTGCAGCTAATATATATTTAAAAATATTGTTACAATATTTTCAAATACTGTCAAAATATTTTCGTATTAAGATTTTACCAGAAAATAATATATTGTACATTTAATAGTTATACGAATTATTTTCAACCATCCTCAATAAATGTTTTCGAAAATATTAATGTTTTTTTATTTTCATGTGGGTTGTTATGATTTGTCGAAGAAATTAGTTTTGTTTTTAAGGTACAAGTAGTGCATACAAAAAAATGTTGTTTTTCATATTACAATTAATTTTGAACCCTACGCTATACATTAGCGCAAATAAGTATAATTTCTTTAATGGTTCGTTGCAAGGGATACAAAGGGTAAGAAAAATGACAAAAACCCGTATTCAGTTAAGGTTGAAAACGATTCTTTATTGACACATATTATGTTTCTATTATTACACGGTGTGTTCTCAAACAGAGAGTGTAAATGTTTGGAGACAAAAAATGTAATTAAATTAGTAATCGAGACTGCAATTTGTTTTTTAATTCTCAGGAGATTATAAAAAATAAAATAAAATTGATTAACTAAGTTCTTAATGACGAATCGCACCATTTGAATTATTAAAACGTAAGTTTCGACATCTTTTAATCTTGGACACGCCGTTCAATGATCTGTCGGTTCGAGTCTATTCCATCGTATTTCGATCGAATTTGTTCTTTTTCTCTCTCTGTCGTGAAGTTCGAGTAACATCATACGGTAACTCAGGGTCTAACGTATAATACACATCCTTGGACACTGTTGCCGGAGTCGAAGACACGGCCGTAACCGACGACATACCTCCTTGAAGATCGGCTGCCGTTTGGGGCGAACTCAGAAACGATTTCATGTTTTCCGGCATGGTCGACAGTAAATTGTCAAAGTTTTCATCGTCCACCGTATCTTCGGGTTCCACTACTTGATAACCGTCGCGAAAATCACCGCCACGCTTGTGTCCGCCTTTAGACGTATGCCTATAGCGGGCACCGTCATAGTCTTGGAAACCGTGACCAGCAGTCTTGTATCCGGGCTTAGTGTGGTCACGATGAGCGACACCGGGCTCGTGTCCGCCTTGGTGCTCGTTCTCGCGGCTGTAATCTCCGCGATGGGATTTGCCTGGGTCATCTTTACCGTGCTTGTACTCAGATTGTTGTTTGTCGTGTCCGCGGTTACGCTTAGGCGTGCGACCACCGTGTTTGTTACCGCCGCGGTGCTTGCCCGAATGGTGATGCGCATGCCCGACGTGCTTACCGCCGTGATACCGACCGTGACCGCGGTTGCGGTTCTGACGACTGTGCAATTCGTGACTATGACCGTGGTTGACGTGGCCGACGTGTACGTGGTGGTGGACTATTTCATCGCCGTGCTCGTTTTTTACCGCTTTGGGCCCGACTTGCTGAGGTTGGGCCATTTTGATTTGATCAGCAACTACCGGCGACCCCTGTTCGGGAGGTTTTTCTAAAATTTTGTAAACGGTTTTCGTGTGATGAGCATGCTTGATGAACATCGGTACAGTAATGATGACTCTTTCGTATCTAAAATAACAACAAAAACGTGTGTTTAATAACTGTATATTTTTGACAATATTGTCAAATGTTTTTACACACTCATAATATGTTGGAAACACTGTGACAACATATTATGTACTTGGACAATATTTTACAACAAACAACGTTATGGACAATAATATTAACAATGTTAAATCGTTGCGTGGAAAACAAATTTGAATGCATCCACACAAATTTTGCTGTATCGGTGATAACAACCTGTCACATGTCAGTCACAACTAATCAGTGTGTGTGTATTGGTGCAGTTGTAATCGTCCACGGATATTACAGGGATTCAAAATGAAAACTAGTTGTCTGTAGATTGGTTTTCAGTTAGCGCTCGTGTCCTGGGGTAGGGGATTTATGGCGCGGTGGTTTCCCGTCGCCAGTCGGGTGGTCATTCCTCTCTCCAGACGGTTACTCGCCTAGCAAGAGAAACGGCCGGTGACCAAGTTTTCGAATAACGGCTAGTGCGTAGAAGCACTGCTGCGTTCACCCACTCGGCTACGACCCAACGACAAGTATAATATTAAACTGTAAATATTATTTTTTTTGTTGTTTTCAGGATTCTTTTCTTTAAATCAAAATATATAAGAAAAAAAAAAAACAATAATAACAAGTTGTCAAAGTATTATACTTAAGTTTATCTGCTTAACACATTAACTACCATTGGTAGTGCCAGCCAGTTCAAGTGGTACCCAAAAAATCGAACTGAATATTGATTACTGGGATCCCTACCCTGACAGCTAAAGTGTTAAAGAATGAATAAGATATTTAAAAATAAAGAACACTTCGCCGCAAATAATAATAAACCTTGGCGGTATTTTTGTAGCAACGCTGCCAAAAATGATCATCATCGTCACCAGCAATCATAACAGATTAAGTATCTGTTTATCAGTTTAATATAAATATTTACCTAGTTTAATTGTATTGTTAATTTTGTATATAATTTGTCGAGCTAAATATTTTATCTAAAAAAAGGTATATAATAAAAAAAAAAATATATTAACTACGTTAAATTATGTTAGACTAAAAACTATTAATTTAAGTAGAAATTAGAGTTAAATATAAATTTCTGTTAATTAAAATGTTACAGAACATAATACTAACTTAGTTAGTATACTTTAAATTAATTTTAAGTATTCTCTTTAAATTATATATATAATAGAGAAATAAATTGGTAATTAATATAGTTAACCCAGACTCTGAGAAATTATGTTTTGGTTAGGTAAATTGTAGTTACACGATAACTAGTCAAAAGTTTTAACTGCGTTAATAAATAAATATTATCGGGTATTTAGCCAACATTTTTTCTAACTGTAACTTTTATAAAACTAAGGATCCTAGTTGAGCCACGAAACCTTTAATATAGGTACCAGCTGAATGACAGGTTAAAAATTAATCTCATTTTTAATCACAACAATAATCCTTATTATTAATAATTTATTGTGGTTATTTTTTCAAAACTATTCTCTTTAATACTTGGTATACGTTCTAGGTTCTATGATATTATTCAGCCTATTTTAAAAATTAAACCAACGTACGTATTTAACACAACATATTTATTTATTGGATAAAGTTGTTTATTTTTTTTATTATATATTATAAATACAATTTTTAAAAACGTCTAGAGTATAGTTTTATAAAATACACCTGTCATAATTTGTTAAATAATTGTGTTACAATATATTCGTATACATTATATGAATATATAACCCCTTTGTTAGTGTAATATGTTGTATGTATAAATGAGTTATTTTTTTATAGATACAAATTATCTATAATTATTATGAGTTCAACTAACCTTTTATACTAAAATATTATTGGCTCTCGAGACAAAAAATTCTTAAAAGGAATAGTTGAAAATGTATAGAAATGTATAATAATAGTTATATATTCTACTAACCCGTTTGTAAGTTTGATCTCTACCATGTAGTTGAATATCAACATCCACCATATCGATAGTGACATCTACAAGTTTGGGGAGGAAACAGAAACAATATTAAAATGTATCTCTAACGCGCTATAAAAATATATTTACACTTTAGAAGTTTAATTTCGAATATTAATATATCTCACAAGACAAGTGGAAAACTTTGAACGCAACGAGATCACTGTCAACGACACAATGTCCAGCATTTCCATCGGGATGTAAGATTTTTCTTCGATTTTTCCCAACTCCCGGAAACGTACAATAATTTCTCTTCCTTACTACGGACTTAGAACAACACAATAGGTAACAATATTTACTGTTATATTTTGTGCGATTGTTTTATTTTTTTATGCTCTGGGCCGACCCATCCTTATTTCGTTGGCTGTGACGAAATCGTAAAAAAAAAGTTTACCGATTTTTTTTTACCGCGCGTCCACCATGGGCTGTGTATACATTATATACATCTAAATAAATATATAAGGCAATATCGAAAAACACCTACCGTCCGACGATCGTGCAAATTCTATATTGCTGTTTTTTTTTTTTTTATTATTGTCATTTTCATTGCACTCGACCAATTATACATAGTGCGTTAAATTTCATTTTATCTTCGATGCGAAAGTAAAATAGTAATGACGATCTCACACATTCTATTTTTAGTTACAACATAATGTGTGTTTTTATATCTGACCACTTAGTTAACTATCAAATACTATTTCTATCAGATTCTATGATTAATTTGCCGCTATGGTGTATTTTGTGTGATTTTCGGAAGAATGTCCAAGGTTTGATTACAAAAAGGCTGAAGTAAATATTGCTTACCTAAATTGTCTATGTAATAAACGGACTTTATGATCGTTTAAATTTTTATAGGGAGGTGGTTAATATGGAATTCACAACCTAAAATACAATGCTGCTTTGATGGCCGAAAAGTTGAAAAAATTCTAAACTAGGGGAACCCTTCGAACAAATTTGCCAATATTTTTAAACTTCAAATTTTATTCAGGCCATGATCCAGCATTCTTATGAGTCATTTATTCCTATATGTGGATTTAACATCATAATCCGAAAATCAAATTTCCTGAAAACCCATTCCCCTTTTGAAGGATACGATTTTTAAACTTTATTTTAGGCATGATTTTAGGGTGTAATAGTTGAAAATCATATATAGACGAGCTGGCATTGTAACATTTCAGTATTTACACATTAAAACACAAACAACATTTACTGAGAAAGAACTGGGATTTTGGTAAGTTTAAAATTCGTCAAGCTGTCATTTTTCTCAAGTAGTCGAATCCAGTCAAAATTATTATGGGATGTCTTTGCGGCATCGATGAAAAGCTTCGATGCGAATCTGTTAGCAGCACACTTTTGTATAGTTGTGCTGGACTTTTTTCGAATTTTGTCTCTTCATCCGTTCAGCGCGGCGCGTTTAAGCGATCGAGGAGATTACTATTATTATCGAGGAGGAGATTTATTAAAAAATTAAGTGCCGGCGCGTTAGCGTTGCGGAAACGGTCGGCGGGGTTCGTTGTTTAGCGAAGATTGTTAAAAAAAAAAAAAAAATCAATCATCGACAAGACGTATCCGACCGGGGGGATTATCAGTTTTGCAACAACCGGGTGCGTTGCAAGCGTTACAGCACCAAATTGACCGTTTTTATCTATAAACAATAACGGTCGGACAGGGTTTAACGTAAAAATTGTATCGGTGGAGATATGTAACAGCGGACAGCAATCTCAACAGCGGCGGTTACGTTCAGCAGACCATACCCCATCTACGGCGGTATTTGCGGTTGCGTAATCGTCGGGACCCGATTGACGCCTCTCGTCGGGTGAAAGTAAAGGTAATTTGCTTCTCCGTTTTTCATTTGGATTTCCCGATATCCGTGTCAAGGTTGACAGTCGGCCAACATATACCCACACGCCTTTACCGCCGGCCAGCACCACCCCGTATATGTGCACTGGTTAGGTCCAGACACAATATTATTATTACCTACGTGGATATATGTGAAAATATAACACATAAAGATAATGTTATGTCGAGACACTAGAACGCGCGTCGCATGCCGGAAAAACGTTACGCTTGCGACATTTGATGTGGCGGCCAATTACGTACAATTAACGGCTGGCACACAGTAGACGTACAGCGCACGTAAGCAAGTACTATGTACATAAGTACACCCGTCGTGTTTCGCCAAAAATCGTTACGCACACGATAGGTACGTTGATCGAGTGTCTGGTCAACGCGTACACATAACATAACAAGAGTAGATGTCGGTACTCGAGTAACGATTTTTTACAATTTTTAATCAACGTTCGACAAATTTGACAACAACGGGATAAAAGGCTGTAAACATTTGGCCGGAAAAACCCACAGACACACCATAAGCATGCAGTTAATAAGTACACCAAGGTGGTGTTCGGATCGTTTTTGTTTTAGAGATAAAAACCGCCCTACTCAGCTGTCCTTTAGCTAAGCTAGCTTAGAAGCGAAGGAGAAAGAGGGGATTGTGGGACAAATGCCACTGAGTCGCTTTCCGTTTTAAGTTATGAGACCGCTATATATTATATTATTATGTTCGCGTTGCGCGGATCGGTTCTATAAAATAAAAATTGGGGATTTTTAAATATTTATTCTGTAGACCGACTTTAAATTTGCCTTCTAAAACAGAACATGTCCAGTCCGCATCTTACGTATGTAATGACTTTATACTATCATTTATAAGCAAGTTAAAAAATTATTCTTATGTTTGTACAATAATTGTTGGTAACAATTACTTAACAATATTCGTTGTATTCTAAATAGTATTAATCTTTATATAGATAGTAAAAAATTAGTTTATTAGTAGTAAGTAATACAATTATAAGTTATTTAAAACTAAAAAAAAAAAATTATTTAAATGTATAACCGCCGTGCGCTTCATGAGCAAAACGCATTTAACGTGATAGTGTAATCATTTAATGAGCTAAATAATGTCCATTTTGTTTAGTTGTAAGATATTAATCATTAATTTATTAGTTATCAACATATGTTAAAAATGTTAACTCATGACCAGAGTACATATTTCAAATAAGATAATAAATAATATATAATATATAATACGACGAATTATGTATTTATGTGTATATAATTAAAAATTTGAATATTCATGAATAATAGCTATAACAGCTAATAATAATAGCTATAATAGCTAATAGCATTTTATTCGATTTATTACTTAACAAAAAAAATTTAAATATAACTTTTCCGTCTACCACTTGATATAATTCACTTTTTCCATCTCCCTTCCGCATTCTTGATACTTAATTTTTATGATGCTAAAATTGTATGCAACATAAACTTTTATAAATATTGATTTATACTCTTTGATTGCTCATCATTTTCAAGGTCTCATTTTAAGCAGTTCTCTGTTTATATTGTTACTCTTCTCCGGATATCTAGCACTATATTTCCCGGTTGTCTCTTGCTTACAAGCTTATAATAAAAGAATTTCTCAAATCTTTCGCGCAACGTAACGGTACTATTGATTGCATAAAAAAAAAGTAATTCCCAAGTGGTTGTACAATGGTTCTGCCTTACGGGTTGTACTTCAACAATAATTATAATAGAAACTGAATAAGCCCTTACCAAATGAGCAAATTTTTAGACTGGCCACAAAATTAAAAAAATATATACGTATTTATCATAGATCTAACAGCTAATTTAATTATACCACATTGTTCCAGAAACCCAAATGGGGGAACGGCCCAGCGACATTTGCCCACCGGTTTGCCGGCCCACGCTGCCCATTGGTCGATAGTCTATTTCCTTAAGAAATAGTTCCTTCTGCAGTTTACGGTAAGCAATTGCTATTATATTAAAAAGTGAGTTCTTAATCTATTACATTAAAAATTGAGTTTTTAATCTATTACATTAAAAAGTGAGTTTTTAATGCCATTATTTTTACACGAGCAAGGATTTTTTTTATAAAAATATTCACAATAGTAACTCTAAAATTTCTATTTTTACCGTTGATATTATTATATTTTAATTTAAACTTGTTTGTACTTTGGATATAAAAAAAATTAAATCACAATTTAGTAACTTAAGGAAATTTAGTATTAAAACATCAATATTTTATGAACTCACTGGGTAAGTTTATAATGTTAAAGAGCATAATTTTTAAAATAATAAACTTAGTGATATGGATTTTTTAGAATATGTACAAAATAAGTTTAACCTAAATCAATTTAGTCAATATTTAATATTGACCCTTTCAGTCTTCCTAGGTATACATGCCAACTAATGCTACTGTATAACATTGTTGGTACTTAAATGTTTTAATTTATGTAAATTTCATTGTTAATATTTTTGTATTTTCAAAATTATAGTATACAGTTATTAAGTAGTAAACCATTGGAAAAATATCACTTATTACTAATCCATTTTCTGTGCATAACAATAATCATAATTACATTTATCATAGTTAAAATTATTTTAACTGAATTTTAAACTGTAAGTATATTTTACATATAGATTATTATACATCAAATCATAATACAGTACACTTATATTGGCAGTTATCTAGATAACAATGTTCTTATTAGTCCCAATGGGGACAGAGTACTGAAATGTTATGCATTGATAAAACTTGCAGATTTAGTTATAAATTTATAACTATCATCAAATTTAGGGGCCAGATAAAGTTTCGAACAGTATATTATATTGGAACTTATATGCTTTGTAGCATCCGTAATTTATTCTTTTATGGATATATTAAAATTTGAGAAGTGATATAACATTACAATGTTCTTATGGTTTATGATGTTTTTTTGAAATAGTTGGTAATATTAGACTAAATAACGTTAAATTACAATTATATCGAACAACGAACACATCAATTATTAAATTAAAATATGTTAATTCCACTTTCAGTGTTAAGTGTCATAGTGGTTAGTTATAGTGGTATTAGAGATAACAATGAAAATAATATAATTAGTTTAAAAAATAGGGTAATGGTTCAATTTTAGTTTTAATTTTTAAAACATATTGGTAATTAACAATTAAATAAAAAAAATAATTTGTTTTAAGACTAAATTTAAAGTTTGGAAAATGAAGTGGACAGCATTTAAAAAAGTCAGACAAATTTGGATTTAACAAATGTTACAAACAGTATATACTTTTAGATATAACTTAATCTAATCTAATCTAAACCTTAATACAAACAAAAATTAATTATTGGTGACTGCAGTGGTAGGTACGATTTTCAAAGTTATTGAAATGATCCGTCATTGCACAAGCACCGCGCTTTGAATATAAACTACAAATCATTTAGTACTCAAGCTTATTTAGTAATTACAATATGTTTGTAATATGTTAACTAACAAAAAAACAATATAATATATTTCATATGGACCTACAAAGCTTAACAGTAGTTTATACAATATTTTATACTTCATCTTTAACTACCAAAAACTGTTTAGATTATAAGACACTTTTATTGTCGGCCTTATCTATGTAAAAATCAACTAGTGTAGGTAACTAAGATCACCGAACCTTTATTTTAGCTCGTTATTTTTGGCTTGAATTTATAAAACCATGATTAAGCATAAAATTTGTCCAAAACAAAACTTTAGAGTATAAAAAAAAATGATTATTTGGTCACATTTTCCATTACACTAATTATATTATTAATTTTTGTTTAGGTTTTTATAGCTTGTATTTTTAACTAATTACTCAACGGCCTTTTTGATTGAACTGTAGATGTATTAGTGATGGGAATCCGAAAATCCGGATATTCACAAAAAACGTTATTTAAACCATACTAAAATCGTATAAATACTAAATATTACTACAATATAATGTACCTAAGTAAAATATTTTGATGAAACTAAAAAACGCTTAGCTTTGACAATAAATTGCTTTCGGATTTCAACAAATCCGATATCCAAAATCAGTTTATCTTTTTGTAGTTGTGTTTTATTTTTACATTTTCATCAGAAAAATTTTATTTGGATACATATTTGTATATTGTTTTTATGCACAGTATTTATAATATTGTCAAATGACTAAAATAGCAATTTTTTTTTAATATCGAATTTCCATCACTGTGATGTATATTATAATGTCTAATCATTAATTAATTAAAACCCTACCACATTTTTTCAATAGTTATTACATAGTCACTGCAGGTGGTTTATAAAAAAAAGAACACAAAATGTATTATACACAAAACGAAATGACCTTATCGATCTTCAAAGTGTAATCTAGCGATAACTTTAGACCTCCTATTTCTGTTTGGCCAAGCGTACGGGGGAACCTGTAAGACAGGCAATTGTCTTGGTGGAGGATAAACCATGACGTTGTTGCTGTTGGTGGGATCGTGTCTCTTGTGTTTTATTGTTTTTCGCTGCTCCGTATAAGAGTAAGGGTTGACGGCGATTGGCGTGTAGTGCTGCTGGCGCTGGTATTCCCGTTGACTGTTTGCAACAGTTTTATGATAGGCCTCGACCATCTGCTTGTCCGAGTGCGGCTTGGCGTGCTTAACCGTCTTTGTCTGGGGGTCCATAAGTACCACATGGTGATGATGGTGGTGGATGGTTTTCACGCGACTCGGAACGTATATGATTATCCTGTAAACGATAATACACTTGTGATTACTGTAATACAATCAGTGTTCGACTGGTACATTGTAATATCTATAGACGAATCGATGTCAATTTTTTAAAACGGATAGAAACATATGACTAAAATGTGTTTCTACTAAGAATGCAGTTTTATAAAAAAGTGACTCGTGTTGTTAGTGCAATCATCCATTCAGGTTTATTGCTTATAAATGTTGTTTTCAGTTATTCGTGAATTTTTTTGTGTCCAAATTTAATTCCAATATTATTAAAACAGTTATTAATCTTTAGAGACCGTTCTAAAAAAAAATATTAGTCCCAAAAATACGTATACTCCCAACCGAAGTATCGACTCACCGATAACGCCTAATCGGTTAAACTAAGTTAATTGGTTATTCATGTGGAAACACAAAAATACTAAATTATAAATTAACCAGAGTGTTTCGATAACTAGAATCCAAAAAAATATTTTCCATAGTTACAACTCAAACAGCATTTTTAAACAACGTTTTTAACTTCTTTTAAAATACTTACTATTAAAATATTGTAAATCTATCTATTTTTGTATAATAATTATTTTTTATTTTTAAGTAACATTTTCGAAATAAGATCTTGAGAATATTACACTTCTGTCGTAAAATAATTATAAAATATTTTTTAAATATTCAAAAAACATTCTAAAAAAGTTAATAATTATGTGTTGTTTGGAAAAGATTAAATCGATTTTGATTTCATACTTAACTGATTAGCTAAATCAATTATCGAGATTCCACTTTTTTTTAGTTTATTAAGTGATTTTTAATAATATATATTTATTTATTTCGCTTTTTATTTTTACTTCTATATGTTCTATTGGTTTGAAACATTGTATAGTTACTTTTGATACTCAAGATATTTATATTTTTTTTTATTGAAAAAATAATGAAATTTCACAAGGTGCAATGATTTAAATATATTCTGATAACTATAATAATATTATTATATTTGTATAGTATTATTAACATTTCTAAAAAAGTAACATTTTTTTAATATAAGATTTTTAATAACATAGTTGGTATAACCGACTTTCACAAACCGATACGCCCTTTAAAATTTTGGCTATTTGTTGAGAAAACTAGAATAACAAAAAATTAATCAAAGATTGAATGAGAGTGCTAGTCGCAAATCAATTTTATTGGATATCCATTGGCCTTAATCAATTGTTAAAACAGAATTTCACTTATGCACAAGGTTTTTTTTTTTGAGTAGTACAATAGGTATAAGCGGGGTAAAAAAATGAAAAACCCTATATTCATTTTTAACAAACGTCCAATGTCAGTCTATGTTATCAACGCGATATTGTGATAACAATGGGTGTATATATTTTATGGTCCATTACTACTTAATTGATATTGAACGATGAAATAATAATAAGAAGGAAATCACTATAATTTGGATTATTATGTTGAACAGTTAGGTTATTTGACGTTTTATGTACCGAAAAACTTTTTCCCGCCGCATAATTTGTATGTTTCAAAAACAAAAGACCACAATGGTCTACGACCGGAAATCTATGATGTATACTATTATAATTTATATGTATCCATTATTTATTATACGTCTCTTGCCATGATAATTATTGTCCATTTTTCAACAATACCGTGTTTCTTGGTCTGACAGAAGCCGATCTTACATAATCGCCTTTGTAATATTGGCACAGTAATTTGCGGTCACGTGTCATTGATTTTCAATCAAGAGGTTGTCGTCGGTGCCGTTTTGCACATAAAATGTATATTTGTCACGAAATTCGTCACACAACAATACATCTTTATCGTTGCCTATGCCGACGCCAGATTTTAGACTAAAAAATATATTTAGAGGTAAACCGTGAATCGCAGAGGTGTCCAATGAATTCAGATTTTACTATTTTAAGCCTCATTGTAGTTGGGGTACTAATTTGACGGCAATTGACCCGAAAAATAAGTGCACTCGATTATTTTGGAATATCAGTGTAAGAAAATATCAGTTAAAAAATCCAATTCAAAATTTCCAGCGTGCTAATAGATATTATGAAATCGTGTATAATATGTAGAAACCAAAAATTCTCAATTTTTAATTACTCTTGAATTATCTTATGATGAAAATCACAATATTTACGAACTAGTGAATCGTACCGTTAAAAATAATTGAATTAAAAGATACAATACAGTAATCATATAGTGTAACTATTTTGTAAATCAAATCTTAAGGAGCAATTTTCTTTAAAAAGATTTTGTGAGTTGATGCATTACCATTCGAGCAGTGCGAAATGTGTTTTTGTTAAAAGGACTTCATCCACTCTACTTATTTAATACTACTCCTCCTTAAGTAATTGGATGGACTTGAAAGAAACACAATAAAATTCATCCAGTTCGTCTAACAAAAAATTATATATTATCGCACAATATATTAATATTTTTGACACTTAATGGTACTCATTATATATTATATATTTTACGTTTTAAACAAATATTCATGTATAACATTTAGGAAATATACAGTACGGATAGTTATTCATTTGAATTAATAATTAAACAAATTATAATACAAAGTTTATATTTTTAAGTAAAATAAAGTACTAGTTTTTAAAAAATGTATAAGGTTGCATAGGTAAAATTGTGTAATGCCAACAGTGTTTTAGTAAACAAGTTAACGTATTTTTTTAGTATACAAACAAATAATACATTGTTCGCTCATTAATTTTTTTTTATGTTGTGTAATTGTTTACATGGGTACCTAATAGATTAAAGCGTTGTTTCTATTTTTTCTTGTATGTCGTATAAAATTACGTTTCCTTACTATCTTATGTTATGTTTATTGATCTGTGAACATTTTAATTACAAAAAAACTTCACTGGGTTTGTTATTTGGAACGAACTAGTTGAAAAAATGACTACATAATAATATGGGCTCTGTGATTAATTTTATAGTTACCATGAGCAAGAGACTTTAACTATAGTTAATAAAAGGGTTTAAATATTTTTATATAATAGTTGTATGTACTCAATCTTTGTAAATATAGTTAAATACATAATTGGACTATTTGAAAAAATTAAGTGTTTGTGTGCTTTTTACATTTACCATGTAACGGGCGATAAAATATTATTCTTTAGTTTAAGTGATAGACAGAGAAAGTAATTTAATTATTTTAGATCTAATTTAAAGGTATGAAATTGTTTAATGTATATTTTAGTAAAGTTCTAATATTTTTAGTTTTTGTCTTTAGATGATAGTTATGTGTACTTTATACCTATTTGGCCTAACCTATTGTAATTATAACAACCGAGGCAAATCGTACTAAACATTTAGTTTTTCTTTAAAACTTTAATAATATAGTATTTTGTTTTAGCTTAAAAAACATTTAAATCTTGTGATTAAAATCTTACATTATGAAAAAAGAAAATTTTAAGATAACAACTGAAAAGGTTATGAAGAGTTTTGTAAACAAATTAACGCAGAGCCTAAGTAAATAAAACTTAAAAGCTCATTAACTAAAACATATAAAATGAAGCGATAATTATTAAGATGTACAAATAATAATGACTTTTGATCGATGTACAACAGTTTCCTTTAACCACATTTATTATTTAACTCATTATGAATCCATAATCGCATAATGTCTTAACATTCTTAATATTAACCAAATATGTAGCCAAACACCTAAAAATCAAATCAAAATAACCTAACATCTAGATAATATATGTATTTAATTTTCGTCTGAGTGATAAAAACTAAAAATTTTATTTGATATGTTATTATTATTTTAACACTTCAACAGTAAAGTCACTAGCTCAAAAATTATATTATATAATATTAATATTTCATAATTTTATTAGAATGAATGTAATGTTATTGTCAAATAAAAGACAAATTCAGAGGTTTGAAACGTGGTAACACTATATTTTTATTTTTATTTACTGGTGTTTGTTAGTGAAAGACCGTTAGCACCAAATATACTAAAAAGTTTGAGGGTATTTACACTATTTACATAGTATTTTTCCGTTACTCCCACATGACCAGACAAGTCAATCTGTTCAAGTGAAAGTAACAGAACAATATGTAAATAGTGTAAATACAATACCCCATTGAAGTTTCAATATATTTTTAGTTTAAGGGTAGTTTTATCGAAGGTATGTGTTTTTTAACTTTGATTCTACATTTTAAGTAAGTATAATTGATGCAAAGGTTCATTAATCACTAATTTTATTAATTTTTGATTTGAGTGATCGAAAATGTAATAAAACTTTTGAACGGTTGAACGTATTGTAACCAAAGTAATTGTTTAGTACATAACATCATATTACTATCTTGTTAATATGCTGCTTTATCAATTACCATTTAGTTTAACTATGTTTAATAATACATAGTATAATAACTAACTAAACAGAAGCACCAAGTAGGTACTGTGTGTTATCACTTACTTACCTTTTGTTTTCTTCGCATTCTACCGAACGTAATAGATTTATAGCTGCCACGATCTATATTAACAGTTAAAACACAGGCATAGTTTAATATAATACACGAAGTTATGAGATTTATAAGGGTATAAGTGACTTTTATCAAATTGGCCAGGAGAGCGTACAAGAAATTATTTTTTCTAAAAATTCTTATCAGTGATGTTGTTTAGTTTTCTAGAGAATATCTCTTTCGGAAATTGATGAAATACTTAAAAAAAACGCAGATACCGATAGGATTTATTGACAAATAACGTGAGTTCAAAAAATATATCACTTGCACCCTTTTGATTGTAATTACTTCACATAACGTCATTATAAATGTACGGTTACGTTTAAATACTCGAAAGGAGGGAAAGCACAAAAACTCGTTTGACAAAAAGCAGACTTTGACGTGTGTACGACTTACGAGAATGGCAAAAAATAGATGAGACCCACGCCGTTCCATCGCGTCGACCGAATACTTGTGAGAGACTCAAATCAACATTTGACTGACTGCGACACGACGATTACTTCACTGATTAAAATCCGTCTTGATTTACATTTAACCATCGTCGGTCTAGATGGTGTCACGGACCAGTAACCAAAGAAATCTAACACTTCCACCACTACACCGGTGTCTACTCGGTTAAGAGACTTCTTCTGCGGTACCGCGACTACCACCGCATATACATACATACATACACGCCTTATTGTTTTTGTTCGGATGATTTTTTGTCTATCTCATTTCTCTAGTCACACTTTATTAAGTGCGGTATTTGCGTCGATACTTTTTTTACGTGTAACCCCCCCCCCCCCGTGTAGTCCCCCCTCACACATGCAAACAAATCATATATAATAGTTATATTATGTATACACTGGGCCTTCTAGGTTTTGTTACATCCATACGTACCGTTGTCCGTTCCTTATTTCCCCTGAATTGATAACGCTCCGTCGATTACTTTCTTTTTGTCGTTTATCTGATGTACATATAATACATAACACGTTTAATATTATTTACAACGGTAATAGCTAAGAATTTTTTTTTTAATAAACGGCCGCACTGTAAATCTACCACTAACGTGGGATCGATGAGATTAATGTTTTGGACGTGGTTAAATTGGAAAGTGATTAAATCATTTTAAATCATGTAAAATTTGATTCGTCGTGGTTAGTTTAAACATTCAATTTTTAACTAAACACCTCGATGCATCGAAGTAACCTTTTTGTGGACTGTGAATGGCATTTACCGCGCCAGTTGTTGCTTTTGTCTATTGATTATTATATTGAACATTTCCGGACGAAAAAATAGTAGGTGCTTTCTCATAATACCGGATTCCGGATTCCTATCACTACTGCATACCATATTGGTCACTTGGACACCCTCTTCCCTGCGAGATACCTGTTATTAAAATGAGTTAAAATGTAAATTATGTTGTTTACTATAGAAAATAGACTTCTGATGAAGACCCACAGCCAGACTAGTAGTTGGTATTAGATTGGGAAAATACTAAATTATTACAATAATATATCTAGTAATTGAAGATTGTTATTTGAGATTTGTTCAAAACTAATAATTAATAAATAAATTCATATTACATATTCAAACACTGCTCTACTGATAATGTTCTTTACTATACATCGTGAGAATTTGGTAAATGTACTGTGTTAATACTGGCCTCACATACTTGTCTCGCGTAAAACAGTTTTGATGGGAAAAAAATTATAATTTATCCTAAAGAAAATGACTGTGATAGTCCAACAAAAAAAAAATGACAATCATTATTAAAGTATCCTCATGACTGTATTAATGAGTATACACAATATCAATCTCTAAATTAAAATTATTATAATTTATTAATATTTATTAAATATTAGTTATATTACATCTACGCTCCTGTCATCTGTAACGGATATTCTTTACTTTCTTGAAAATTGAGCAGTTATATTTAAGGGGTTTTGTATAGGCAATTTGTTTTAGAAACAAAATTATTCGTAAATAAAAAATATTGTTTATATTCTTCTTAAATATAGTTTTTAATCTTTTGTATTTTTATTATGGGAATATTTAAATGAAAATTAGAATGGTGAAAAAAAGTTGGGATTACAATTAGTTTTGTTTTTTAATTGCCTATACAAATACTCCTTTAGAAATTTCCGTCTATTTAGCTAAACATTTTTTTGCTAAATACACTTGGTGTGTTAACAAATTTGGATTATTATAAATCCAGCAATCTATATAATTTTAAGTATGTCAAAATTGCTTTAAAGTTGATGAATTATTAGGACAACCAATGGAGATCATTTACTATTAAATAACAAGAGTTCGTGAAATAAAATATGAATCTACCTTTTTTTAAACTATTGAAATAAAAAAACATATGAAGTTTTGACAAACTCTAAAACTTCATTAAACGAATAAATATATTTGATGTCAATTTAAAATAAGTGTTGCATTTGAAGTTTTAATTTTATTGAATAAAAATGACGATTTTTTGTTAAGGCACTACGTGTAGATACAAAAAAAGCTATTTTTGTGCATTAATGTATATTAAGTTGCATACTCACATTTTAAGGCGCAAGAATGTATAGTGCAGAATTAATGTGTAAGGGTGATATTTATTAAGGGGCTAAGGATAGGCATATTCAAACAACATGTGATCTATTAACTATTTTAAATACATATGATTAATTTTAACGAGAAAAAATATTGGGTTTTTTCTAGTTATGAAGCTTTTAAAGTTATTTTCGCCGAGTTATGACGAAAGTTTGATAAAAAATTACAAGTCATTTGGAGGCGTATCTATTAGACGGATTTCAATTTGTTTTATGTGAAGCATACTTTTTTTTCTATGGCGGCTAAAAGGTCGATTTTGGATTTAGGTATTAGAAAATTAGTTTCATACATATAAAATATACACAATGAACATATAACATAAGTATATATTATATCCATACAATATACAAAATGTATTGTACCATAAAATAATAATTATATATTGTTTTTGAATGATTAGGAAAATTCTTAAGAAATTAACACATTACATAATACTTTATGATGAACAGAATAATTTATGTGCCCAAGTTCTTTCTTCATTATTTTATAAAACTGACGGATGGAAGTGTGAATTGAAGTATTATTTTTATCTAAATTACTCAAACGCACACAACCTTTAGGAAATTATTTTTAATTTAAAATGTTAAATATATACGTTACCATTTAAGTTTTAAAAGTTGATAAAGCACTGGAAAATACTATAAAAGTTAAATATTTATTAATTTTATAATAGTGTAAAATAAAAATGCACAAATACAAATGTTTTTCAAGGAAAAAACTATAAAAATATTATCACTTTCCGAGAAAATTAGCGTCTTATGTTAAATTGATCATCTTGTATAGATGACCTTAACACAATTTTTGCTGATTTATTCATGTGTTCACTGTACTGGCACATTGTGAAAAATTTAAAAAATTCTCAAACATGAGTAGCAACACTATATTATATGAATAATAATCAAAAACAATAATATACGCTGTACTTGATGTTATTTCACGTATTAGGTGTATAAATAATATTGTTTTGAATTATGAATATTGCAATACATAATTGCACAGGGTGATTGTTTAACTATGACCTAGGCATTATGTTATAAGGTATTCGACTTTTTGTAAATTATTTATTTTCATACTTTTATAGATATTAGACTAGTCGATAACCATTTTTGAATAATTACATTTGAAGTTAATAATTCAGGAAGATAAGGGTGAAGTGTAGTATTATTGTTATCTGCTCGAGTTACTCACTTTGGGTAAAGTAAATGCAAGTTTATTATAATATGTATATGTTTGTATTTTAATAATGATCATTCAGATTAAATTATTGCTAAGTATAAATATAAGTATAAATTAATATAAGTTGTATAATGTTGTCTGCTGTGCCGATTTGTAAATGGTAAAGGAGAAAGCACAAATTTGATATTACAAAAGTGAACAGAGGGAAGCAAACTTTCTATAAGTACTATTTAATTACATTCTAATGTGTTGTTTCGTAGGAGTTGATGTCATCTATTTTGTTTAAAATAGGTTCTGTAACTTTTGTACATGAAAACATGTTGACTAAGAAAAATAAAATCATAATATTGAAGGTATATAATACACATGATTCAATGACGCCATATTATAATTATTATTATTATAACAACTGTAAAATACATTTTTAAATGCATATTTTAATTTTTAGCTTTTCAACAGTTCGTGTACTAACTTATACTCTCTCTCTTTGTTGTAACGGTCACGGTTTGTACATTTTATTGATTTAGGCACCTTAGAATAATTACATTTAAATATGGATAGATATATTTTTAAGAAAATTAATATCAAGATGGTTATTTAAATAACAGCAATACCTATAAATTTGTGTGTCAGGCACAAGCATGAGCAATATTTATTAATCTCAAAATGCAATAAACTTTGATTTTTAAAATATGGTATGATTCTTATTTTAGTACTAGCCTAATGCTTACACTGTTATTTTAATCCAGAACTCGATTGTCGTTATAACTATTAACGTAGTTCTTAATCGATTACTTATCTATGTAGTGTATAATGCGGTAAGTCTGAAGTTTCCCTTCAGTTCCTGACCCAGTTTTCCCGGATGCCAATTGACCGTGTTTAAAATAAAAAATGTATACTTTTTAATAAGACGGCGAAGCGATAATTACATTTTGCTGAATAAAATAAGCAAAATACAACAGTTATTAAAATAATATTATTTGTGCGTGCAATTCAGACTATTTTATTATGAGTTTTATAAAAAAAAAATACTACATTAGAAAGGGCAATTATGAGATATAAGGGTACACCCAAATTAGTAAATATCCATTAGGCACATTCGCTTGTCATTTATCAAGTACAAATCTATTTTGGTGAAAAAAAAATAAGACTCTCGACTTCAACACGTGTTTATAGTTAAAAACAAAAATTCACTCGAAATACTAAACCTTGATTGTTTTGAGTTTTTTAATGCATTTAACTATTCATTTATAATAACGATTAAGTAACTATGAGTTAATTCTGAAAGTAAAATTTGACAAGTTAATATGATCAAATTTCTACGTTACAATCAATATAAATAACTTGTAAGTAATTGGCTAATACTTTGATGTTAAGCTATATTTAGTCTAATCTTTTTGGGGGATATTTAAAAGATCTCGGCCTAAAATCAGGCCTAGGCGGTGTGAATGTTAATGCCATTAAAAAAAAAATAGAAAAATACCAACAAAACTTGTGTTTTTTTTATATTGTAACACCTATCAATGTAAACCTTTTGTTTTAAAGTCTAAGTATACTGTATAATGGTTCTTGGAACCCATTATAGAGATAACTATTAGATGGAAATTATGTTATATTTTATTAATAAAAATGGTTTTTCTATTTAGAACGCTATGTTGAGATTAATAATTAACATAATGTAACGTGTAATGTGTGTGATTATGTTAAATAAAACAAGTGTAATTATTATC